GGAAAGATGTCTCAGATTGTTTGTCTTTTGTGTTCTCTCTCTCTCTCTCTCTCTCTCTCTCTCTCTCTCTCTCTCTCTCTCTCTCTCTCTCTNCACACAAAACATTGGTTTTCAGTCTTTAAATTAGCAAAAGCACGGGGCTGGTTATAGCCCACCGGCAACGCCGATAGGTCTTGCGGTAACGTAAAATCTAGTATCACGCAACCTAGCAAATAGACAGAATATTTTTCAAGCGTTATGAAAAAGACGAAGCACTTTGCAAGCGGAGATACAAGCCTGATAAGGCTACACAAAGATGACTTTTTGCAAAATATATACATGTCACGTTCAGATTTAAATGAACCGCCATGCCCCTCCACACACTCAAACAGTGATAGGAGTAGGGGCCAAGAAAGGGCTATTTTTTTTTTAAGTCCTCGAACAGATCCCTTTCTAGCTTGTGTGGGTAAACAGCTATTTTTGGTAAAAGAAAATTTTGGTGTGCACACTATTCATGTGAGTTAATTTTTATTACTTTGACGTCAAAATAAAATAATAATTGTAATTTAGTTTTAAAAGGGTATATATTTTTATAAAGAAAAATAAAAGAAATAATATTTCATTTTAAAAGTTGTGTTAATATTTTAATTGTATTTTCTAATTTGGTGGTCAAAATTTTAATAATAATAATAATAATAATTTCTTTACCTTTCTTTATGGAACTATAAAACGAGAATCAAATTCCATTTTAAAATTAAGGTTTGTAGATTTGAGATAGATTTGTTATAGGATAAAAGGATTCTTTAAATTAAAAATAATAATTAATAAAATATATTGTCATTTTATGTGAAAATAAATTGTAATTAAAGATTCAAATTTAACAAACATTTGATGTCGTAATTACTTTGGTTTAAATGAATTATAAAAGGTGCCTGATCGATAAATGAAATAATTGTAGTCAGGTCCGATCGTAAAAAACCTCTGGGACCTTGTTTTCGGTTTTCCGAATTCAGAGTTGGGCCCAATAAAAAAAGAAGAAAAGACACGCTATATCACATACATATAATTTTAAATATAAACTTCTATGAAAATTTGTGAAAAATAGCTGTGCTCTCTCTCTCTCTCTCTCTCTCTCACTCTCTTCTTACATTTTTTGAACAAATGAAATGCAAAACTTACAATTTTTGTTAACTGTAACTAATTTTTATAGTTTAGTTTGAATAATGAACGTCAATAAAGTAGAAAGCCTTAAAAACAGGGTGTAGAAATTAAATTAATTTCTAAAAAGAAAGGGTATAATTATTTATTATATGTGCTTAGTACTCAGATAACATCAAGTAATTAACCGGGACAAAAGATAACCCCTCCACACCTTGAAGTGAGGGGGACAAATTATTAATTTCTTTTTTACTTGATTTATTGTTAGAGTAATGCTTTGGAAGGAAAAAAGGTAAAATGGGATTTAAAATATTACGTTAAAATTAGTTTAATTAAAACTATCTGTCTAATACACTGTCAATTTAAATCCCCTATGAACAAATCATATCAAATCTAATTACTAACCTTACGAAATCATATCTGTTGAAATTTCTAAAGAACGATCGTTTATAACAATTTTTTTAACACCAGTTCTTCACTGAAGATGGCGCGAGTAGAGAAAAGCGAACCCAGTAAAGTGATCAATATCGATCAGTTCAATTAAATAAGATCAGTTTAATTCAAACTTGGAAAAGCCAATGAAATTAATGAAACAAAATGTTAACAAAAAACACATTTGTCTTGCCAAATCTTAAACAAATTCAACTAAAGAAAGTATTTTTGGCATTTAAAACCGTCAAAAAGGGTTCTCTTTTCAAACAAATTAAAGTATACTACTTATACCACAGTGCCAGAAGAAAAACAAAAGAAAAATAAATTATATATATTAATTATTTTGTTATTTTCTGGAGCATGCAGTTTTTAAAACCTAACCTTCTCACTTGCTAGACAAAAATATGCTAAAATAATAAGAAATAATCGGCCTATTTAAATCAACAGACAATGTGAACACATTTCATTCAGTTAACTATTAACACAAAGCTAACTTATAGAACTGTCAACTTTATTAAGTAAATTGAGGTTTTTAGTTGAGATAAAAAAGTGAGTGTCACGAGCGGGATTCGAACCCACGATCTTGGGCTAAATACGCCGCTGCTCTACCACTTGAGCTATCGTGACCTCGATCCACTCGGACACTAACTTCCTATTTCAACCACACCTTTTCAATTTTCCCTCCTTTTTGCCATTTTTCAAATGTCGTGTAATCTATTTGCTTTTCGGCGACAAATGACTTTTTTATCTCAACTAAAAACCTTAATTAATTGAAAGATTTTATTAGTCAAGCGGACCAAGAAAACTAGTGAATTTAATAAGTTAAATGAAGTATATCTTCACTAAAGCTCTCCGTTGCCATTTCGTTTGTCGCCGAGAATCAACTAGATTACACGACATTTGAAAAATGACAAAAAGGAGGGAAAATTGAAAAGGTGGGGTTGAAATAGGAAGTTAGTGACCGAGTGAATCGAGGTCACGATAGCTCAAGTGGTAGAGCAGCGGCGTATTTAGCCCAAGATCGTGGGTTCGAATCCCGCCCGTGACACTCATTTTTTTATCTGAACTAAAAACTTTAATTTACTTAATAAAGTTGACACTTCTATAAGTTAGCTTTGTGTTAATAGTTAACTGCATTTGATACTATAAACTTAAGATTCTCAGGAGAAATTGTTCTAAATCTTTAATCCAAGTTATTGTACAATTTTTTTTTCATATTTGAGGGTATGGCTGTTCATTTTAACGTTATTTAAACTTGTATATGATATTATTTTAGTAATTAACTGGCAAAAAGGAGGGAAAATTCAAAAGGTGGGTTGAGATGGGAAGTTGGTGTCCGAGTGGATCGAATTTTAAATTATTAATTCCAGTGGTTAAAGGCAAAAATACAAAATTGAAAATATTATATAAATAATCTTGATTTTAATATTCAGTTATTGTTGTAGCCCTTATAATAAATAAATCGAAACTAATTGTTAAAAAAAGGAAGTTTCATTTAAAATTTCCTTTATAAAAAATCGTGGAAAGACTATTAATAACAAAGAAAGGACTATTTGACTACACTACATTCTCCCCCCTCCCCAATTACCCCTCTATATAATAAGCTGTTTTCGTTTGATGGATTATTCTTTTGTAGGAATGTCAACACTTTTTAATCCTCTTTCAAACAGAAATGTTTGTTTACCTCAGTAGCATTTCGTTACTTGGGAATAATTCAGTCTTTACTAAGATGTCAGCCCGTGATTTTCGCGAAATTTCGTTTTACGAGTTTAAACTCGGTCGGAACGGTGCACAAAAGGCCAGAAATATTAATGAAGTCTGGGGCGGTTGCAGTCCGAATGAGAGCACCGTGCAGAGATGGTTTAAACAAATTCGAGAGGGAGATTTAGCCTTGAAGACTAGGTCGTGGAAGGATTTCAACCCTACAAGATGATGTTTGCGAGCTTTGGTCGAAGAAAATCCCAGAACAACTGTTAGAGAACTTGCGGAGAATCTTTCAGTTAGCAAATCGACCGTCGCTGACATCTTAAGGTAATTGGAAAGGTGAAAAAGTTGGATTCTTCATGAATTAATCGAACGCCAAAACAATCATCGTTATGAAGTTTGCGCAACATTTTTTTGCAGAAAAGTAGATTCTCTAAGATAACAGCAGACGTTCTGGACAGTGGCCCGACAAAGGAGATGCAGCACCACATTTTCTAAATCAGTAACTTATCAAAAAGGGGATGGTGACTCTTTGGGGGGGGGCTTCATTTAGGCTGATTTGCTACAGCTCCTTGAATCCTGACGATAATCAATGCCGAAATCTATCGCTCTCAAATCGAAGAAGCACCAGAAATTGGCATTATTGAAGTCATTTTTGGTCAAACGGAAAAAGCAGAATCTGTTACACGACAACGGTCGGCTACATGTCTCACATGTGACAACATTGGATCTTTCCTTTTTTTAAAAGATAGTTCCTGCTCACAGTAAGTTGTTTTCCAAAGATCCGGATTTCGAGCCCGTAGCTCATCATCAGGTTGAAGGATTTCCATACCATTCTTTCAATTTCTATTCTTATCACGTCTCTCGTCATGAATTGCAAAAGTGAACCGTCCGATACCCCCGCCAACGCGACGTTCCAATGAGAAGCAGGTTTTTTAATGGCGCTCAATTTGAACGTGCGAAAAACGGAAATTATAACAAAAGTAAATAAAATTTAAAAAAAGTAAATTTATAATGGTAAATACTGTAAGAAATTAATTATAAATTAGTGATTAAATATAAAAGATAAAAAATTAGAATAATACTTTAACATTATTAAATTATTATAAAAATAATTAATTTAATTATTTGGACGTTTAATATTATTTATGTACATATTTAAACTGGGAGGTAGATCAAAATCTATTATATTATTAATGCATTTATCTCTATGTTCAATTTTAGACCTAAAATTGCCCATAACAAACAACCTAATACAAATAGACATATATAGAAAACCCACAACTACAGGCACTATGATACCAGCGGACTCTTCCTACCCATGGTCTCAAAAGGCTGCTGGTTTCATTTCGCTCATAGACCGTTTTTTTAAACATCCATTAACACCTGCTAACTATAAAAAACATAAACAATTCATTGATCAAAGATCGTCAGAAAATTCATTTACAGAATAAAAAGACGAAGTTATATTCAGAGGGTATTGATAAGTTGCCATTACATTGGGAGAAATATATTGAGTGATGGAGGGTATTTTAATTAATAAAAAATGTTTAAAATCATTTATTAATTGTTTTTATTTTATAATCATAAATATGCATTATTTTATGGACAGCCCAATAATTGTCAACATTTTACAATTTCGCAAAACTAATCTTGGACTATTATGACGTTTACCGAATTGGACTTCAAGACGGTTATAACCTTCTCAAACCTTATCAAAATAAAACTGTGCGAAGGTTAAAGAAAGCGTGCAGTTCAAATTATAAGAAGTCTTTTCAAAAATTATTATTTAATGCGATAATTTGACAATTTCGTTGCCGTGAGTCGATATTATGGACGTTTTCCTTTTGGAAAAAGGTGATAAAGTGCTTCTGCTCGGCGAGGGCAATTTCTCATTCACCTGCGAACTAGTCAGGATTCTAAAAGAGTCCTGTGGCTTTCAGGACTTTTCGGGCTTCTTTTCGACCTGCCTGGAAGACGAAGAGTCTTCGGCGATCACAGCAGAAAACAAGGCGTTATTGGAAAAAGAAGGTAGCTGAAATTCGTTTTTAGACAGTTCTGAAATTGCGATAAACATTTGGGGAGGAGGAGGGTAATTTGTTCCATTTTCTGGAGGGTTTACGGGTTTTTCACCCCTCAACCGTTTAAAATAAACATATTTTATGATTACACACGGTTCTTTATTTACAAACTTTTTTCTTTCTGTTGCCTGCCAGTTGTTCCATTTTGCTCGAAGTTTGATCCTTATCGTCCTGCTTTTTTCTGCTATCTCTAGCTGTATAAACTGCTTAAAAATTAATAAGGGGTATTTGTAATTTACTCTTGTCCTATCAATTTTAATTAAATTAACCAGTTAGTTGGATATAATAAAAAAAAACAATGTTAATCCTCATTTTTAATAACGGATTTACTTAAGAATATTAAACATGAAGATTACTCATTTTGTAAACAAAAACCTTTTCTCGTCTTTTCTCCTTTTTAATCCAGTCATATTCTCTTTAACCATGAAAAGACATCACCTTAAACCAGAAGTTTGCAATATTAATGTGAGAATGAGTCATCGAGGTCAGCGGCAAGTGGATATCGCAGAGTTGGTTTGCGATTCTCAGAGCGTGGTCTCCCGGGCTTTTGCTCAATTCCGTGAGACTGGAAGTGCCAACAATAAGAGGCCTGGTGGACCTCAGCACATTACGACGCAAAGGGAGGACAGAAATATTGGCAGTGTTGCAAGACGGAATCCTTTCCATACTGCCCGCCAGATCCTAAATGAAGTACAAGATCTTTTGGCAAGGCCTTTATCAAACAAACGATTCATATGTGGGAAGTTGGCCTCACATCATATGCCCCTTTGAGACGGCCTGCAGCAACAGCCCACTATCAACAACATAAGAGCATCTAAAAGAGAACACCAATTGGAATGCTGTTACATTTACTGATAAGTCGCGTTTCTGTCGTTACTAAAAGCAGGCTAAAAAGAGTACCTAGAACAGGGGATGCGTACAATGCCCCAGTTTGTGCTCCCTTCAGTGCAGTTTTGATGATATGGTGTAATGGTCTAGGCTAGGTTTGCACTGGAGGATGAACTATACTCCTTATTGTTTAAGGCAACCCAAAACGTAATTTGGATGTGTTTTCTTTTTTTAAATAAAAAGGATTTTAACCAATCAATCAAAGGCATTTTACCTCTATTTTACCTGTAATGGAGTTCCACCACAAAAATACTTTAACCTTAGAAATTCTGTCATTGTATACTTAGTGTGTCCGTTCTTACCTTTCAAAAAATAAGAAATACAGCGGAGTTACAGCAGAACATGTTTCAACCTTCGAATATAACTTTGTAAATTTGACTGAAAATCTCAATTAGTCTCTTTGAGGATGTCAATAAATTTGACAAAATGTCAGCATACAAAAAACACAGGTTTTCTTTTGTTTTCCACATCTACCTGGCCGATTATCTCAATCTTTAAAAAAAAAAAAGTTTGAAACACAGTGGTCATCTACTCAACATTTTACAATATTAATTCATATATGTATTTAGCAGCCATAATTGACCGTGTTAATTATGTTGATTGATTATACTTTTTATTTAAGGTCTTGGTTGAGATGAAAAAATTAGACCAATCATCCCAACCTTTAAAAATAAAATAAAAAAAATTTAAAAAGTTTGAATCAAAACTGTCATCTACTCAACATTTTACAATATTAATTCATATATGTATTTAGTAATCATAATTGTCTATATTTATTATTTTAATGGTTTATCTTGGTTGATATATCTTGGTTCAATACGTCACGGTTCTACCGTGACTTCAATCCACTCGGACACCAACTCCCGAAGCCAAAGGTCATGGGTTCAAATCCTGCTCATTACACTGGCTTCTTCATCTCTCAACCTTAGTTGAAAAGAATAATGAATTAAAATTTTACAATATTTATATTATACCTACCTTATAACTTAATTTAAATTATTTAAACTTAACATTAATAAAATACATAATTCATTTAAAATAGTTAAACAAAAAGGTAGTTTTTTGTTACTCGAGACTGGGGCCTTCTGTTTTATTGTACTTTCCTAATTGCTAGATTAGTGAAATCAACTCGATCCTTCTCCTAAAGGAATCCAATTCCTTTCCCTGGGTTTTCTTTTGCATCCCAGGCTATTCTCCATTGAGCAGTTGCTTCAGAAGATGGGGTGGCTGTTTTCCCTCTTCAATATATTACCTACAAATAGAGTCAACATTGAATATGTTGTGTAGATACCAGTGACCAATCCTCTGAGTTTAGCCCTCAATAACTAGCAGTAAATTTGCCAGTCTTGGTGATGGTTGCTTTAGCATAAGCTTGCCTTGTCTAGCACCTCTAGAGATTGTCCACTTCTCCATATTGAAGATTTTTTTTTTTTTGTAGTATTCTGCATTTATCCTAATAAGTTGAGTATGCCCAATTAATATAATTTCATTTCTAAGAATATATTGTAATTTTTTAAATTGTGAGATTTCCTCTTGTCTTCTAATGAATGAAAGTAATTTAGTTGTTGTCAATCACTTCAGTCTGCATATCCTTGCTGTTTTGACCCCCAGCAAAAATGATGATAGGAAGCCAGACCACCAGTAATAATTAATTATCAATATTTTCAAATAATGAAAAACAGTAATTAGACAAGAGTTCAAAGTTATATATTTTAACAATCAATTTTCACAATATACTAAAGTATTAAAACAGAAATGTTGACCAAAAATCGCCTTCATCGATGAGAACAAGGAAGAGTTATATACCCGCATGAAGCAGAAGATTTATAATGGCCTTGTACCTGTTGAATGAAGATATTTATGTTCCAGGGGTCCGAGTACTGTACGGAGTCGATGCCACAAAACTGTCCCAAAACAAACACCTGCAAAATGGGAATTTTCGCAAGGTCATATTCAATTTCCCTCATGTCGGCGGGAAAATGAAGATACATTTGAACAGGCTCCTGCTTAAAGAGTTTTTCACATGCGCCTCCGATGATGGCCTGTTGTCCCACGAGGGTGAAATTCTTATGAGCCTGTGCTCCGGCCAGGGCGGCACCGGGGCTGAAAAGAGGCAGCGTAGGTGGGACGACACATGGCAAGTAACAGAAATGGCCGCTTTTGGAAATTTCTTACTGAAGCGAATCGAAAACTTTCCCCACACACTTTTTCCAAGCTATGTCTCAACCGGGTTCAGAAGTACTATCAGGAGTTTCCACACAGAAGGAGCATTGATCCATATTTTTAAAAAGTCCAATAAGGCTCTGCAAGAAGAAATCGACTCCGATGAAATATCCAACCTCCATAAATTCCACACCGTGAATGACATTGAAGTGACTTCTGAATATAAAAATGTGATTTTGAAAAACCCTTTTCAGAACCCTGAAAGTCCTCAGTCTTATTTATATTCTATATTTGCACATTGTGCTGAAAAATTTGGTGTTAATGTTATTAACGATCTTCCTATGAGTGTCAACAAGGTTTCAACACACATTGGACCGATATGTTTTCAAAATAAAAAACCTCGATTCTTAAGAAAATCCTTATTTGAAGTTTTAGAAAACGTTGTTGAAGTGATCGCCTCGGGTATAGTTTTTAATGACATTTCGTGTATGTCTCAACCTCTTGCTGATTGTGAGTTGTTGATACACAGTAAAAACATACAGGAAATTGTTAAAGAAAGCATAACAATAATATCAAATAAATTTACTGCAACAATAGAAGATATAACTTACTGTGTATATAACTCTCATGAATGTTGCTCAATTAACATTGACAAGTTATGCTCTTATTTATACCAAGTCGACTCGCATCAACTTTGGCTCGGAACTTGCCTGAATAACATTTTCATTCCGTTAAGCATTTTTCCGAAACAGTATGATTTCGATGTCTCATTCGGCTCAGATCGAACAATCGATGAAAGAACATTCCGCACCATTTTATACCGCCTCCCCTGTGGGATAATATCTTCCATTAGATTATTATCCGTCTTCCACCCAGAAGAAATTCAAATGATATACTATTGTTATAGAATCACTTACGTGTCTTACGAATATCCTCTACACAGATTACGAGTCATTAAATATAACTATAACGTCTTGTGCAAAACATTAGAAAAGTTCTTTAAAGTCAATATTAGATAATATTAATCCAATATGTAACTGTTTTATATTTATTTTATTGTAAAAGTAAACTGTAAATATTTTTACATAAATACAACAGATTTACGATGATTTGTTTTATATTTTTTACTATATACAATTTTTATTCTTACAATTATTATAGTATATTCGTATTATTATAGTAATTTTAAAGATTAAATTAATTATTGTGGTTGTAACAGAAGGTTCTTGATCAGGCTCAAAAGGAATTAAAGCTGTTTTATGAAATAAAAATAATTTATAGAAACTTATACTGAAGTACATACTTGAATGACTATATGATCCCGGAAATGATCTTGGAATCGTATAAAATCTCAACAGACTATAAAGGAGAAGACAAATTCAGGAGGAAATCAGATAGAATGATATGGTATGGCTCCAAAACAAAGGGACCGGACTAGACATTTTCTGTACAAACCCAAAACATAAGCAATCACATCATCACAGAAGTACACCTTGGTCTTTCAAGCTGAAATACATGCCACCAACACTTGAGCCTTTAAAGTCTTAAAAGTGGTTTCACTGTCAAAAAATTCCTCATACCTATTTCAGGTTTTACCTAGATTCGTAAAAAAAAAAAATAAATAACTTCAAAATTCATCCAAAATCTTAAAAACCTACAGAAACACATCAACCTATGATATCTTGGGTACTAGGACAAGGTAATTTTGCGTAACAAAAAAGCAGACACACTGGCCAGAGGAGGATCTGCAAAACCATATAGGCTTTGAACCTATTCTTGGGATAAAACAAACAAACCTAGTATCTTCCATCACCGAATGGATTAAAAAAAAAACTCTAGAGGTGCTAGATGTAGAAAGCTTATTCTAAAACAGTCCTCATGAAGACTGGCAAACAGCTGCTACAGTTAGAGGTGCTAAACTCAGAGGGGTCTACATACCGGTCACTGGCATTTGAGAAATTGTCTACATAACATGGGCTGTACATTGACTATCCCATTGGCAGATTATATAATGAGGATAAAAAACAGCCACCCATATCATCTTCAAATGCGAAGCAACTGCTCAATGCATACATAACCTGGGATACAAAGAGATACAAAGAAAACCCAGGGAAAAGGAATTGTAACAATGACAGTCAATGAACTAATACTGCTTAGGAAAAGGTCAGGTCAATTGCACTGAAGTAAGGAATTACAATAAGTCAGAAGGCTGCAGTGCTTAGGAAACAAAAACTTCCTCGTATCCATCATCATCATCATACTATAGTATAATAAATAAAAATTATACTTGATAGTTAATTTTAGTATAGCCTGGTACATCTTCTAGCATATTATATATTTCCCTAATAAATAAATTTTATCTTTTTTTTTCATGATGAAATGGATCAATCTTCTATCAAAATTACAATTATTTGCAAATTTACTGAATAACTATTGTTGTAACTTGTAAACTGAAAGTACAAGAAAACAGTCTGGCACATAAGAATTAAACAAGATTGTTTATAAATTAATTAATCTCTAAATTTAAAGTGAATAATTTTTTTCTCTTTAATTTATTCAAGCGTAATTTCAAAATGATATCATCCATGATTTGCATAAGCAACCCGATTGTCAGAAGGTGCTTGAGGAAATTGTGTACTGACGTCCCATTCCCATTAAGACCTGTCAAATCCAAATCTCAATGGAAAGAGGTATTCTTTTATAATTTAAAGTCTGATTAGTTGTACAATATTAAATTGTAATTTTACAGACGAGGGATTTCATCGACTCTCGTAGGGTGAGGGCGATCGCAGGAAATGGTGGAGATGGCTGTATATCACTGTTGCATCTTTGGTCCAACGAGAATGCGGGCACTGATGGTGGCGATGGTGGAAACGGTGGGCATGTTTTAATCCAGGTATTGTATGGCTATGTATAATAAACATTTTATTTATTTTATTTTTATTTTTATTATTAACTTCCATCTTGGCCATGCAGCTTGGCGATGTAACATCTTTCAAAATATAATATGGATTACAATAAATTATAACTTTAATACAATGCAAGATGCTGACAATAGAAACATTCCAATAAATGTAATTAAGTAATAAATTTACTTTTCTATTTAAATGAAGTATCTAGTAATATTTTCTAATGTAAACCAAAAAAATAAAAATTTAAATTTTCTTATTTTATGATAATGTTAATATATAAATGATTAAATGTTAATTGTTTACATTCAAGGCTTCGACAAATATAAAAGATCTTGATCATGTTACGACCGTTCTGCAAGCTGAAAATGGCGAAAAAGGTAAAAATAAAGATTGCCATGGAAAAAATGCTCAACACACAATCATTCAGGTGATAATGATAAAATTAATTATTATTTATCAAGTTTTATCAATTTTTTTTTAGGTCCCGGTTGGGACTGCAGTCAAGTCATTAACAGGTGAGCATCTCGGTGATCTTGATAAAGAAGGAGCGATGTACGTTTTGGCCAGGGGTGGTGCAGGCGGTAAAGGAAACGCGTATTTTGTCACAGATACCCAACAAACCCCTCTTGTCGCTGAATACGGTGCAAATGGAGAAGACCGTTCTTATATTTTAGAAATAAAAAGCATGGCAAATTTTGGCCTGGTAATTTATTTACTACTAATCGAGTGTATTTATTTAGAACTTATTTATAACCCTGTTCAGGTCGGTTTACCAAATGCTGGAAAGAGCACATTGCTGCAGGCGATATCGCGAGCTAAGCCCAAAGTTGCTTCATATCCTTTTACAACCATCAGGCCGTCCGTTGGCATCATTATGTACAGCGATTACGAGCAACTAGCAGGTGAACGAGAAAATACAATAGAAAAAATATTCTGTTAATTATTTTTTTCTTTAAACAGTTGCAGACTTGCCTGGGCTGATTGAAGGTTCTCACAAAAACCGCGGGCTGGGAATACAATTTCTGAAACATCTCGAGCGATGCGCTTGCCTTCTTTATATTGTAGATGTGTCACAAAATCCAACTTCAGCACTGGAAATTTTAAAAAATGAAGTCGGCTCGTACAATTCCAAACTTTTACAAAGGCCTTACTTGATAGTAGCAAATAAAATCGATTTACCTGCAGCAGAAGTAATTATTTTATAGATTTAACAAAAGTCTTTGTATAATATTTATCCTTCTTTTTTTTTTAGGAAGGCTTAAGGGAAATGAATAAACAAGAAGATCCTGACAAAGTTATAGCAATTTCAGCCAAGTTTGGAAAAAATATTACTAAATTACTTTACCTCCTCAGGGAAATCTATGATAAAGAATACCAAAGAAAGCATGAAAATAATGCATAATTAATGTAAATAACTGTTACAGAATTTTATTTGTTTTTATGTAAGTGTACCATTACTGTATATTTTAACTACTTTTGCATTAAAAATATTTAAAACTAAAAAATTATTTATTATGATAATTTTCTTGGAATTAATCACTATCATTTCTAAAAGGGTGGATGTAAATGTAAACAAAAGCAATAGAAACCATAAGTCAAATTTGCTTAAAATGAATCACTAAATGTTTTTCCTTGAGTCACTGGTGATCGTTGTCTCCCTTTTTTCCTGCGAATATTAAAGATCTGTCTTTTCCCCTTCTTTATTTTCATACCCCAGAAAGTGTACATTCTGAGTACTCTCCGGGATTCCTTTTTGATTCTTTCCCCCAAACATTTGAGTCACCTTTCCAAAGTGGCTGTACCATTTCCAGGCTAATGCTTTGCAGTCAATAGGCCATGTTCTGATGTCTCTGCTGCTTCTGCCATGAAACAGCAAGTTTCTGTCTCATTTTTCTTACTATGTTTCAGTATTAAATGTACAATACACCGACCTGTAATTTTCCTTAATTTCTGCCTGATAAGAGAGAGGTAGATATTAACTGCTATTGAGACTTAGAGAAATTTTTTGTTTATTTGCACATGGTAAATTCATCCAGGTCCTTTCTTTCTCAAGCTTTCTTCTGTTCAACTTTTGCTGTGCTAAATTGCAATTTGGTCCGAAGGCTGTGAGGGATGCTCATTGCTTTTGCTAGTTTGTAAGCTTGTTTGGTGCCTTGGGCTAACACACACATGAGAGATACCTGATTTTATTTTTTCAGTTGGAAATATGTTAAACATTCACAGACCAGCTTGGGTTCTGCTTCCTCGCTGGTTTGTTTCAGGTCCATGACATCTGAATTTTGTACAAACGACATAAATCATAATTTTTTCTTTCTTTTCTTTTTACTGTTACCTTTTAGCTTTTTTTTGAAATGTGATCTTATCAGTCAATTATATTTAATTAATATTTTAAAGTATTTAGAGACCATTAATTAATGATTTTCTTTATAGTGCCAACATTTCACTCTTTATTGAGATCATCTTCAGATTTCAGAGTGTGGGATTTCTGTGTAGATGTGTCACGGTTGTGTGTCGTGTTGAGTGTATAAATAAATAATTCACTAGATGTAATAAAACAAAAGATTAGATAAAGAAAATGTTTTTCTAAACCTACATCACACCAGACCACATCTCACGATCTCTAAATAATCATTTTAAAGAATATATTATTGTCATTAGTATTTTGTACATTTTATGTATATATTTTGTTATTATTATTATTAATATTTTACTATGCTTATAAAACTAAATTTATTTCAAATATAAGTGCATATGGTGCTTAAAGCCATATTACATTTAAAATAAATAAATAATTTCAAATATGGCGCCCTCTCATGATTTTTCATTTTGATAGTTCATTTTTAATTTACGACAAACATTATTAAAACCCATTAAAAATTTATTGAATTATAAATTTTTATTATTTTTGATAGAAATTTAGACATAGTGAATTTAAAAAATTAAAATAAATAAAATCAAGGGTAAATAATCGAAATGGGATTCAGGTGCATTCGGGAGCAACACTGTTCTTTCACGTTCCGTTCGGACCCGTACTCTCCGTCAAGATGGTAAGCCGTTTTCGCAATTTATTATCTAAATTTATTTAATTAATCCCAACACGCTGGCTCTTACAATTATTTCATTAACAAGAGACACGCAGATCTAGCATTCATGGAAAAACGGTTTTTGGATAAATAAATTGTAAAAATTAGAACGATAGTTGTACTGGAGACGTGACATAACCTTTGTGTTTATACCGTCCCGATCTCATTTGTTAACAAAATTTTCTTTTATTATTTTGTACAGTTTCTGTAGTTTAAATTGTGTTTTTAAAAGTTGTACTAAGTTAAATTATTAAACAATGATTTTTTTTTTAATATTTATGTATACGGTTGCTTTGACTAAACTTTACTGTTTGGTCCAATTTTTATCCATTTGACGGGGAAAACAACTGTTTAATTTATTATAGAGTTTAATAAACTATAAAAGTCTTAAGAAAAATATAGATAAACTGTCCAGGATATTGATAATTTATAGCTGCAGTATCTGTATGCTATATTCTTCACTTCTACTGGAATTCCCTTTGCGATATGTTACGGATTTGTTTTGTATTAGTTAAAACTATTTCTTCTGTCCGAAAGTTTATAATAAATTTACTTAGCACTGATAAAAACGAGTGATGATTTAAAAACAATTTGGCCACGATTGAAATACATATTGCCTTCTAATCGATCAAATTGATTGACCATTGATCAAATAATGATTTAGAAATATGATCAGGAAAGTCAACATCAATAATGATGGAAATAATTTCATACCTACTGGCTGTTATTTTAATACGTACAAATAATCTGGATCTTAGTAAGGGCAAATGGATGAAAATATACAATTGTTATCTGCCAATTTTTCCTAATTGACCAAAACATCTAGAACTTAAGGAAATTTTCTTTGGAAATTATGGCCAAAAATATAATTGTTCTTGCTTATTTTGAATATAAAAAATATGCCTGGGTCTATTTAGACCGACTGATCGCAGTCTACATTTTTTCCCCCATGTACAATTGTTAATACTTTACTCACTCGTGTAGGAACAACGGTTATAGGAATTCGGTTTCTGTCTGTAAATGAGCTAAATGGATGCTAACTGTGATTTTACTTTCACATGTCAAAATTGAAAGGTCTTCAGAAGCAGGAAGAAGAACAAAAATTGATTCTACTCCAGCAACGATAATAAATATACTTTATGTGATAAATGCAAGCAATTCATACGTGGTTAACATTCTGTAGTAAGACCAGAAAACAGAAATGTGCAAGTTATGTAGCAGATTCATATACATGATTTTTTTTTTATAAAATGAAAATTATATAATAAGTAAACAATTTAAAATAAAAAACTTATGATTGTAGTTTTCCGGTTAAAAAATATGTTTATTGGATTTAAAATGACTGCCACAGCAGTCTACTTTATTTTTTATTTGTTTTATTTTTATTTTTTACCAATGGAGGTGTGAAATGTAATGCTTTTATAAAATGTTAATGTTACATTATTTACTGTTGTAGGGTAAAGTAAAGTGTTCAGAATTGAGGACAAAAGACAAAAAGGAACTCCTTAAACAATTGGAGGACCTTAAAATGGAATTGACCAATTTGAGGGTTGCCAAAGTGACAGGCGGTGCCGCTTCTAAACTTTCCAAGATGTGAGTAACCATCAAATTAAATACATTTTCTATAATAGTTCGTGTTGATAGATAATTTTATTTTTACAGACGTGTCGTACGTAAGGCAATCGCTAGGGTTTACATTGTCATGCATCAGAAGCAGAAGCAGAACCTTAGGAAATTATACAAGGTGAAAACATTTCATTTCTCATTCGTTCAAAGTCGATACTGACCGAGTGTGATTTACAGGGGAAGAAGTACAAGCCTTTGGACCTCAGGCCAAAGAAGACCAGGGCAATGAGGAGGGCTCTGACCAAACACGAAAAGAACCTCAAAACATTGAAAGAAGTCAGAAAGAGGTCCGCATGGCCAGCGAGGTTGTACGCCGTCAAAAAATAAACACATCTTTGTATTATTATTACAAAATACATAATTTTTATTTCAATTTGGCTACGTTGTATAATATTGTCAATGAAACCTACCTTCCATCTTAATTTGAGAAGTAAATGTGTATTTTAAACAACTATTGTATGATATTTGTTAATAGATAGTGGAAAGAATGCTTGAACTGAACTTGGCATTTTCAACTATGAGGTTATGTGAACCCTTGGAGAGGGGCAAATGTTTTTGATAAAAAGCCTATTTGTAAGTACGTTGGGTTCGAATGCAGGGCCGCTGGATTTGCACTAGGAACTGTTACCTTGTACGTGAAAGTTTTAGTTAGTAATAAAATAATTATATGAAAATGTGTTTGGTTTGAAACTATGGTTTGGTTACAGCTATTTAAATTGTTCACCTAGCACACCTTTTGAAATTTTAAATTTAGATACCATACCCTTGAGAACAAAGTTTTTAACTGTAATTGATGTATTTTCAAAATATGCTCAAGCTTATCCACTAAATTCAGGACAAGGCTTGGAAATCGTCGACAAATTGGTAAAATGCATCACCCAATTCCCACACAAATAACAGTGGACAATGGTCTAGAATTTAATAATACTGTGGTAAAGGATAAATGTTATTTTTTTAAATAAGTTTCTTACATCGAAACCATAACTTATTTATTTTAAATAAGTTTCTTACATCAAAACCATAAGTTATACTAACCAATTTCCAACCCCGCCATATTGATGGTGATGTTTCAAATTAGTTCCGCATTTTCTTAAATTCAAATTATATTTTATTTCTTACTTAATGTAGTTTTTAATAAATTAAATTAACTTACAATGTACTTTTTGAATTATTTGTCATAATTTAATTAATTGTTTGCCGTCTTGCCGTTGTATTCTCGTGCACTGTTATCTTACACCGTTTATCGGCTGTCAGTACGTCAGTTGTACATTGGGCATTCGCTTATTTCTCCACGCGTATTAAAGATTTTAATCACTGTTTTTTCCTCATCGATTTAGCCTAAAATGTACACTATTTCGCCAGGGTTCACCAGGATAAAGCATAAATTAGGTAAGTCGATGCGATTTTATTTGATTCAAGTTCGAAACACAATAATAAACAATTTTAAAATGAAAGAGATCAGTCGAAAACTTCAATTTGAAATATTCGACCCCCTATTAAATGCAGCCTTTAAAAACGTAATTCATCTTTATTGAATAGACTTTTAAGTACTATAAATAAATAGTTGCTATGTGTAAATGAATGGCGTGATTGGGCCATTGTCCACAGCTTGATCATTTCATGTGTTTATTGATTGTTTTGCTATTATACCTTTTGATCGGGAACTTCAACAGCATACCACCAACAAGGCTATGTAGCGGATTTAATCTTAAGAACTCTGCAAGGTGCGGTTTTAAATACGGGAGTAACAGAGTTGTTAAGAGTTTTTATGAGTTAATTAAAATTAGCTGGGCTCTTTACAACATGTGCACTGCGACCTATTGTTCATCTCCATTCTTGTCTAGAAGTCCTCATTAAGCTTAATGCTTTTGACCAAATCCTCTTCTCGCCCGGGCTTTTCCTCTCCGAGGAGTATAACTCACAGCCTACAGAGGACATGTTCTTCGGCAATATCTGCACAGGGTTTTGTTTGACACTCCGACTCTATACATACGGCTTCAGAGTCTGCAGTGTCCAGTTAGCAGTCTTACTATTATTTTAGCTGTGACTCGTCCTAGATTTAGTAATTCTGCCATTAGTTTCTATGGCTGTTGTTATTTTGTTGATCTTTTTCGCATGCCTTTGTCCTAGGCTATATTTCCATTAAAAGAAATTTGTTTAAACATTATCTGATGGTTCCACATTTTTGGCAGTTTGTTTTGCTTGTAAGTTTTAGGTAGATGTGTCAGTCACTGTTTTACTTATGGTACAATTAAGTTGTTATTTGGCTACTACAAGTCCTTGTTATTGTTAGAACTGAGTTGGTCTTAACAGAAATTTAAAACTATCTATTAAAACCTTAATTATGTCAATTTGTATACATCTTTATGATTTTTATGCGCTGGTGATTTAACGTAAAACAAGTCAAAAGCTTGGCAGTAACAATTGAATGTTTTTTCATCAAGACCCATGATCCAGATTATTCGTGAGGAATGTTTGGTGATTAGTGACCGTTAGTCGATGATTATTCAGAAATCATGAGATGCATGGTCTGGTGTGATGTAGGTTTCAGAAAAAAAATTTCTTTATCGTGCCAACGTTTTGATCTTTATTGAGATCATCTTCAGGGCCTGGGATTTACAAACATTGTTTAAGTTTAACAAATACATGTAGGATGTGGAAAAAATGGAAATACTTTGATTGAATCTAAAAAAATATTAAATTCACTATTTTCGTGGTCCACTTGACCAATTAATACTTTACAATTAATTAAGGTTTTTAGTTGAGATGAAAAGAAGTTAATGGCATGAGAGGGATTCGAACCCACGACCTTCGGCTAGATACGCCGCTGCTCTACCACCTGGGCTGTGGTGACCTCGATCCACTCGGACATCAACTCCCCATCTCAACCCCACCTTATGAGTTTTCCCTCCTTTTGCCATTTTTCAAATGTCATGTAATCGGTTTGGATTCTCGACGACAATTGAAATGGCGACGGAGAGCTTTAGTGAAGTATACTTCATTTTAATTCATTAAATTCACTATTTTCGTGGTCAGCTTGACCAATTAATACTTTACAATTAATTAAGGTTTTTAGTTGAGATGAAAAAAAGTTAATGGCACAAGAGGGAAAAATGGCAAAAGGAGGGAAAACTCATAAGGTGGGGTTGAGATGGGGAGTTGATGTCCGAGTGGATCGAGGTCACGATAGCTCAGGTGGTAGAGCAGCGGTATCTAGCCGAAGGTCGTGGGTTCGAATCCCTCTCGTGCCATTAACTTTTTTCATTTCAACTAAATACCTTAATTAATTGTAAAATAAAAAAATATATTTTGCATTGTATAAATTCACTTTTTTCCCCATCCTATATGTATTTGTTAAATGGAAACAATGTTTGTAAATCCCAGGCCCTGAAGATGATCTCAATAAAGATTGAAACATTGGCATAATAAAGAAAATGTTTTTCTGAAACCTACATCACACCAGACCGCATCTCACGATTTCTGAATAATCATTATTCGTGAGTTTGATATGCCGCAAAAGGGTTCAGGGCCCATAGATCTTCATCGAACTTCCCTTGACCATTTTATCAGACTCTTCTTTGTTGCTCCTCTGCCCTGTGTGCCTTGGTATCCATACAAGGGTAATTTTGTGGTTTTTCCCAGTGTAGTGCCACTTGGCTGTCCACATAGAAGGCTATTCTGGAACTGTCAAAATGCCCTAGACAAAAAATAAAAAATTGGCTTCTACAAATAGCCTAATGCAAAAGTGGGTCCCTGATCATGAGACAGCAATCATATGTGCTAAAAAGGGAGCCTCAGAACACCTCGTAGGCCTAAGTCAGTTTTATGGCATAAACTTCAGCCACATTAAAGGTTTATTTTATGATTGAAGAACTCCTCTTGAGGGTATGGTATCTATATAGATCAAGAATGCTTTCTAGATTCCAGTTGATCTTGGGTAGGTAAAGAATACAACAAATGAAAGCATAAACCAGACATGCTGCAACAAAATGATTACTTGCTACAACAATGTAAAATAAAGGAAATTCTTCTTAACAGAAAGGAATGGTTCTTCAAAATTTATTTTTTTATTTTTTTACAATTTTAACTTAATTTTGTGGTAAAAATATTTTAATTCTAGAATTTATTTATTTTTAACTTGCTAATGCATTTCAGGCCACGTCCCTGGTCCCACCTCAGAACTCACTATTTAGCTACATGGAACTTCCATAGGAGTAGTGGGTTCTGAAGAGGGACCAGGAGGGTGGCCCGAAATGCATTGGCAATTGAAATGTATGGAACTTCATCTATACAGAGCTTGATATCATGCCCTCAAGAAGAGTTCTTTGCTTCATGAAAGAAACTGAAATTTTCCGGGAAATTAGCTAAATAGGCAAAAGTTTAAGTGAGTGAGAAATCCTTATGATTCCAAATGAGGAAAAAAAAGGTGGAAACGTACTTCATAAAATCATGTGATATCCTGAATAATATAATTGTTTATCATAAAAAGGCATTACTCAAAATAACATGCTTATTTCACTACAGACTCATCGCCAAATTCAATACAATCAATTGATTAAAGTTATCAATTACTTCTTTCAAACTTTACTTCTTTACACTAAAATAAAAGGTAGAAGATATAGTGACTTCATCATCTTCGATCATCCCAGTCTGCCTACTTCCCATTTAATCATTAATTAAGTTTATTTCGTTGGAGACAATCAAACCTACAGGTTTGACTCTTTGTTGTGTACTGAAGTAAGTTGTTAAGTACTTTGCATTTATTTAAGGGTAGTTTTGTAAAAACTTTAAATTCATGAAAGACCGACTTTGAATTTTTGTTATTTGAATTTTATTACTTAACCTGTTTGCAAAGAAGGCATTTTGTGGTTGTGTTAATTAGTCCTGAGTATTTTCACTTTTAGAAATATTACCATTGGACTGATTCTGAAGTCTAATTTGTGATGATTGGGTCACGGTCTTTTTTCAGATGGCCAGAGTTTTCTGTCATGAACCTGGTGAATTTCTGTGCATCCTGAAATTACTTTCCTTTCATGTTTTGTGGTTTTTCAATCACTTAAAGCCAATAGGATCATTTCATTTTTTAGTATTTCTTACCTATATTTTAGAAATTTCTCTTATATGGTCTATAACCAATCTGTCTGAAAGAGACGTTTCATGTTTGTTCATTTCCCTCAATTCTTGCATGTCCTGGAGCCTAGAAAGGTTGACTGCTTTCCAGTCCCACTTTTTTCTTTCATTTTTTAATATATAAACAAGGGGATGTCTAGGTTGGTGGGTATTTGGACCAAACTTGTTTTGGAGATTCTACACTCCAAAATATTGAGACACATATTCACTTCTTGTGAATAGGTTTCACCAAAAAAATTTTACAAGTTGAACTTTTCCATTTTTTAATATTTTTATTTTACCATATACTTGCTCAAGTGTGAATATATCATTTTACATTATTTCCATTTTTTATTTAGATTGCAATAGAAATATAGTAAAAGCTATCAAAGTTTATTAATAACCAAAAAATTGCCTAAAACCAAATATTTTGAGTGACATTCCTAGAGCAAGTTCTGTCAATTTTTCTCAAAAGCTAGTGGACTGATTTTTGCGGTGGATAATTTGTTGTAAAGAAATTATCAAGTTATAACTGTATCAAACATTAAAATCAGACTATTATTTCCATTAAAAAAAAGAGCGTAATTTCTGACAAATAATTTTGCTATTTTGTGTTTTTTCTTAAAGAAATATTTTATATATTTTAATGGTACATACATTGTTAAAAAGCTATATTCCTCTTTTTTATTAAAGCAGTTTCAATGCTATTCCAGTAATGACTTTTCAAAAATATGCAAAATTTTAGAGGTCAAAATATGAATAAATTTAAATAAAAATTTATTTTTAGGGGTCTCGAGAGATGGTAAAACACAATTTCATATTAGTTTCACAAAAGGGGGGGGGGAATAAGACCTAGTTTACTTGAACAATATTTGTTCTTTAGAATTTAATTTTTTTGGATATTGTTAAACTTTGATAGTTTTTACTGTATTTTTATTGCAACCTAAATAAAAAATGATGTAAAATGATATATTCACTTTGTTGATTGGAATAAGTAGAATGGCAAAATAAAAATATTAAAAACAAAAACTTTCAACTTACAAAAAAAAAAGAAAAAAGTGAAACCAGGCCCTATTCGCAAGAAGTGGTATATACATGACCCATATTTTCAAGTGTAGAATCACAAAAGTTTGGTACAAATCTGTTACCCACCAACCTGGTCGCCCTTTGTAAGGTAAATTTAAAATTCAATTCACTAGTTTCGTGGTCCGCTTGACCAATTAATTAAGGTTTTCAGTTGAGATAAAAAAGTCAATGGCAGAGCGGGATTCAAACCCACGATCTTCGGCTTGATACGCCGCTGCTCTACCACTTGAGCTATCGTGACCTCGATCCACTTGGACATCAACTTCCCATCTCAACCACACCTTTTGAATTTTCCCTCCTTTTTGCTTGAAATGGGAAGTTGATGTCCGAGTGGATCGAGGTCACGATAGCTCAAGTGATAGAGCAGCGGCGTATCAAGCCGAAGATCGTGGGTTCGAATCCCGCTCTTGCCATTGACTTTTTTATCTCAACTGAAAACCTTAATTAATTGTAGTAAATTTAAAAATTAATCTTAGCATGAAAAAGTAATCGCAAAGGAATGAATTGTATAAAATAATTATTTTTAGTTTGTACCGACAATGGTTTACTTCCTGCATTTGTCCAAACTTGCAGGTTTTCTTACATTACTCAAACTCAATAGTTTCTCACTGAAGAAGGCTCAAAATGCATTTGAGTAACATAAAATACCTGTAAATGTAGACAGACCCATTACCGGTATAACATAGTTCACAGATCATCAACACCTACCAACCTTATTTTTAGTTTGATATTTTAAACAACAAATAGTAAATATTTATGTTATGAAATGGCAGAAGTTTCAAATCCAATATACAACTATAAATATTTACAAAATACATTACTGTATTACGTTAATCGCTTTGTTATGGTTAAAGGCCAATTAACAATAGGATGGAAATGTTCTAGTTATCAAAGCAAGATTTGAGATTTGAACAAGATTGAATTAATCCTTTTTTTGTGAGTTCTGTTTTCTTGTGTCCAACGATTTTTGCTCAATAAGATAAAAAAAATTTAATTTTTATATAAAAATTTATTGAAAAATACATAATATTGTGCTAGGAGTGTCTGCTATTTATGTAATGACATGTTCATTCCTGGTATTTTGGTTCAAGAAATTGAATGCCATAACTGTTTTATTACAAATTTAGTAAAAAAAATTTAAATAATTGTAAATTTCTCAAGAAGTACATTTTTCTAATCAATGCATTACATCCTGTTATAATTACTGTTGTTTCGATTTTTTTTTTTTAATATAGATTCAAAATTGGAAAACATATGTTGAGATGATTAGAAGTTAATGTTTAAAAAAATCAAGTCTTGAGTATTTTGTATTCTATAAAAAAGATGGAAATTGATATTGTTGAGGATAATATGCAATCGATGTTGCTTCTCGACATTTTCAGTTGTTTTGCTGTAACTAGTGTGATTTTTGGAATTGAAATGCTTGGCTATCCATTTAAAAGAGGATATTTTTGCAATGATGAAACTATAATGTATCCATACAAAGTAAATACATTGACCCGACGGTTCATTTACACTGCGAGTATTGTGATTCCCACTTTAGTGATAACGCTAAATGAAATGGCTATTTTCTACCAGGTTTCAACAGGATTGACCAAAGTGGCTCATTTTTTCTTACGTATCTACAAAACAGTCGTCGTCTTCATATTCAGCATACTGTGCCTGATAGTGGTCGTCGACGTCACAAAATACTCGACCGGAAGGCTTGCACCGAATTTCTTCATGGTTTGCCGACCGCAGATCCTTTGTAACAGGGGCAACAGTCACAAGTACATTACCAAGTACCATTGCCAAGGCGGTGAAAACGCCGAAGCTGTGAAACAAGCCAGGCTCTCATTTCCCTCGGGTCATTCAGCAGTTGCTACTTTTAGTATGGTCTACTTGGTCATGTACATTGAGGAAAGATTTGTATTCAAATCGTCTTTGTATTTAAGGCGTACGTTGCAGTTTTTTTGCCTCCTTCTAGTTTTATTCGTCTGCTACTCGAGACATCTGGATCACGCCCGTCACCCTTCAGATATCGTTATTGGAATCGGCTTAGGAATGGCAGGTGCCTATTTGACTGCGTACTTTTTGTCTAAATTCAATAGTGCTCCTATCTCTTCTAAGACCGAAACAAATGCCTGGTCAACTGATTTCTAAAAGAAGTTTTATTAAACAGTCAATAATTATATATATATTTTTTTAATAAACTGTTTTGTTTTTATTGCCAAAAAAATTTAAAATTATCGACAGTGATGTTTTGCTGATGTAGGAATTATACTCAGTACATGATTTATCAAACTTATTTTAATTAATTCCCCAACATAATAATGATATTTCTGATGAGTTAAAAAAATCACAACAGTACAAATAAATGTTCATGTAGGAAAAGAATTGAAGAACAGATTTATTATTTATTTGATAAAAGTACTTCATGCTACACATAAACAGATGTATGGTGTGTTTGTTTTAGACATACATCATTTTTAAATATTCTTTTCATCTATTAAAAAATTTTCTCATATGGTTTTTAAAATGTACAATGTGTAAGAACGGATTTTATTACATTTTCATTAAATATGATGAAAGAAGGTGATGTTAATGGAAAATTCGGTTTGCCACTTGTTGTGGATTTTGTGTGCCTTTTGGTGTTGTTAGGGGCAATTTTTGGACTCCATTTTTATACAAAACCAGTACAAAATGGATTCTTTTGTGAAGACCTTTCAATCCGATACCCTTACAAAGAAGACACTGTACCCAGAGGGCTGTTGTACTTTCTATGTCTCTTTATACCACTCGCCATTTTGACAGGTGTAGAAACCGTCCGGCATATCAACGAGGTGAAACCGGGCCGAAGAAATTTGTCCTCGTGGTTCAATTCAGTTTACAGCACAGTCGGTTCGTTCATTTTTGGATTTTTCTGCCTCCTGCTAGTTGTCAATTTCATGAAAGTTATGACTGGAGAACTGAGTCCAAGCTTTTTCGACGTATGCAATCCCAATGTCGACTGTAGTCTGATCAAGAGAAAGTACATACACGCGTTCAGGTGTAACAGCATGAAGGACATGAAAAGGTTGAGAGAATCGAGGCTTTCCTTTCCTTCTGGACACTCCGCTGTCGCTGCGTTCAGCATGTACTACTTGGTCGTCTACGTCCAAGCTAGGCTGATTTGGAGGCCTGCGCATTTTTTCAAACCTCTAATACAAGTCTGTCTAATCCTAATCGCTCTTTCTGTCGGCTTCAGCCGTATCTCTGATAACGCCAGGCATTGGTTTGACGTGTGCGCCGGACTTGGCCTCGGTGCTTTTGGAGGTCATCTAATTGCGGTGCAATTGTCCTGTTATTTCGCTCCGATAAATGAAGACGATGAAGAATTATTTGACGAAGAATTTGAAACCCCTTATAAAACTCCATCTACCTCATTGAAACATTAATATTTTTACATCAAAACATATGAAATAATAATGTTAAAACATCCCAAATGTCAAATGCAACCATGTTTTATTATTTTGCTTAATTAAGTATGAAGGTAAGTGTACGTTTCCTGGAGACCCGTAGTTACATATTTCATCAGTGGGCTAATATAAAAATCACTGTAAATTCTGGCCAAGATCATACAGCAAGTTATTCATGTTTAATAATTAATAAATGAATAAATCACAATTGTCTTCTCATAGATTTATTTGATAACACTTTAAACTTTGAATTATAATGCCTACTAATTTTGAGCTTAAATTTTGAATTTGGACGAAATAATTTTATTAAATAATTTAGATTGGCATTTCTGCTTAGTTAAAATATATTTTTTTTAAATAGAAAAACTGCAAATTCATTTATTTAAAATATATTTTGCAAAATGTCTGCAATTTCAATTGTGACTAAAGTTTCTTGACTCTTTTATATGTATCAGATGATCCCTTCTTAACATTATTATGAATGTTCTGTTTTAATATATTTTTTCTTATCTTTTAATATATTTAAACAGTAGAATTTATAAATTGAGAGTGATCAGCAAAATATCAGTTTTTGACCTTTGCATGTGCTTAAAAGGGGGGGGGTCCAATTTGTAACATACATGATGACTAAATCATATGTATATTTTTTTTTATATAAAAAATGTCAGTTTTAACTATTTCTCATTTTTCAAACACTTCAATTGTTTGTAAATATTTTTTTAAAAAATTATCCTATCTGTTATGTCAATTTTTTAATAGAAACTTTTAACATTGCAATATTTTTTGCTCTGCAACTCAGCTTTTGACTGTATGACAATTGTTTATCTCCTATATGATTTTATAGCCATTAATTAAACAATGGATTGTCTAAGTTGTACATTTAAATTGTAATTTGTCCGAAACAAGAGGGTTTTTTCTTTCTTTTTTTGCTATGGTCTAGGTCAGTAAGTGTAAATGGCCAATCATTTCTTGAAAGTTGATTACAGGATACTAAGACTTGGTTTGTATTTTCAGAGTTGAATTGAACTAGAGGGAGTAATATAAAACTAAAAGATTGGGAGCTGATGGAAGGGAGGCAATGGCATTTTTAAAAAGGGCTAGTTTATTGAGACTGATCCTCGATGTGTTTTGCTTTTTGCTGATCGGTATTCCGAACTATCTGCTTCAGCATCATGGAGAACCGTTCAGACGTGGATTTTACTGTAATGACGAATCCTTAAAGTATCCTTACAAACGAGACACCGTCACACCAGAGTTCCTCCATTTCATCGGCATTATCATTCCGACTGCTGTGATCTTAGTTAACGAGCTTTTACGTACTAAGAGGAGCCAAAACCAGTGGTATGGTAGTTCATCCTTTGTCAACATGTACAAGACGCTCGGAGGTTTTTACTTCGGGCTCATATGCTCGGAGTTGGTGACAAACATTGGGAAACTGACAATCGGCAGGCTGAGACCGCATTTCCATTCCGTCTGCGTACCGGACGTCGATTGCAAGTTGCCACAGTATCAAGATCTCTACATAAGGTATTTCGAATGTTTGGAAGGGAACAAACAAAATTTAAGAGAAATGAGAATGTCATTTCCATCGGGCCATTCTTCTTTCTCCGCCTACACGATGCTCTACTTGGCCATCTACGTGCAGGCGAGGATGTCATTTCAGCCGGCTTACTTGGTGAAAAATATCATACAGCTTGTTTGCGCTCTGATTGTCTGGTGGATCTCTCTGTCAAGGATATCAGACTACAAGCATCACTGGAGCGACGTACTCGTTGGTATCATCATAGGAAGCCTCACGGCATTCTTTATTACCTTCAACGTCTCAAGTCTGTTTGAGAAGAGCAGGTCAAGATTCAAAGGACTTCCTGTGACTGTTGAAAATGAAAGTACAAATGAAAATTTTTTGGACAGTGAAAAACCATCCAAGCTTCTTTGAAGAACTTTTTAATATAGTACTTTATTTTATAATAACTAAATGTAAATAAAGAATATTTATTTAGTATACCATGCCACTCAATTTTTTTACAATCCCTCTTTTTTACCTTCATATATACTTTTATTGTGTGTTTGTAGACATTTAGTCTCTTCAGTAGAAAATATCTCAGATAATTTGTTAAGTAATTTTATTTATTGTATTTTTTAATTGGGCATGAATTAAAAAATGTCCTTTACTGTTTATTTTAATCACCCACTATTTTATTGTATATTTTTTTCTTCAATATTATAAATATATAATTATATTATTTCAACGATATTTATATTAGGCAAAAATCAATATTTTTGTTTGATGGGTTTCTCTTTTGCTTTATAGCTTTATAAGGCGTTTGAACAAAAGCAAAGCAACCCCCCCCCAAAAAAAAAAAAATTATTTTTCGACCTCAACAGTTTAACTCATGATTTTTCTTTCTCGAAGTTGGGATAATAGGTCATCTCAAAAACAACAACCATTTTTTTCTTTCAATCCACAATGTTTCGGATTTATTTTAATCCTTCCTCAGGTTAGTTAACGCAGAGGTTAAAACAGTGGTCATCCGTCATTAATATTTTATAACAGTTTATTTTAAAAAAGAGATTCCGTTTTAATAGTCAGGTTCAAAATATTAAAATGTTTGTTCGGAGTCTGAAAGACTTAAATATGTACCACACTGGCTCTTTTTTAAAATAAACTGTTACAAAATATTAATGACTGACGACCAATGTGTTAACTCACCTGAGGAAGGATTAAAATAAATCCGAAACGTTGTGGATTGAAAGAAAAACTGGTTGTTGTTTTTGAGATGACCTATTATCCCACCTTCGAGAAGGAAAAATCATAAGCATAAAATTATTGTTAGTCTAATGAAATTGTAATGGACATGGTCATATATGCAGAGTGTGATAGAATATTTACATCTTAATTTTTTTTGCACAAACAGGGATCAAATAATGTAAAAAGTTGCACGTTTTATCACAAAACAGAACTTATAATTTTTTCAAATTTTGCCTGGTTTGAATTTTTTTTTTTTTTTTTTTTTTTTTGTAGTTGGGGATCGTGGTGGCCGGTTGGTAAAGGCATTTGAATCATCTTGCCACACCAGCGGTTCTGGGTTTGAATCTCGGCAGAGCCCATGGTTTTTTAGTATGAAAAATGTACTGTAAAGTGGTTGACCCCTTATACGCAAGCCCTCTTTTTTTTACAGGAATTACTTTTCCTTGTCCCTAGTTATGGCTTTCGTCCTATGGGTGAAACGTTTGGCTACCCCTTTGGCTAGTTGGTTGACCCATTTGATTATTTCTTACCTCATGTCATCCACCTCTCAGTAACCTTGAGTGTGTAGGGCACTACCAGATTGGAGATGATGGGTTTTGTCCGGTGTGTCGGTGAACTTGTGTTGAACAGGCACTGGGGCACTTACTGGATATGTCAAAACTTGCAAGGTTTTTTTTGAGTTATTCAAACATATTTTGGTATTCAATTCCTCACTAAAGTGGCGCAATACTGATACGCATTTGAATAAGAAAAAACTTGCAAGTGGAGAAAGACCCAGTATGTGACCTTTTTTTTATATGTTGGGTTGTTTTATTGTTTGATTCAGGGCTGCGTTTTATGATTTGACCCAGGACATGTAGCCTACCATTGCAGTCACCAACACATCCTTCACATTCTTTATAAACTCCAGTACACAGATAAATTGGAATACATGTACTTCAGCTTGGAATATAGTTAGAACGAGACCAGGTTTTCTTAGGGTGGAATTCAACCCATTTACCGCAACTCCCATTTGTAGTTCTACCTTTGATCTCTCAGTATTAAAGACCCAGAAACTTTGTTGCCTTTAAAAAAAAAAAAAAAAATCAGTTTTCTAAAGCTATTTAGAAGAGCTATCAAGGTTGTTTTCCTCAAATTTTGTTAGGTACTGTTATAGCCTCTCATTTATGTTAATTACGTCCAGAATTTTGTAATGGCTTCTACTACGATCTGGTTTTATTTCATTTCATTTCATATGTGTGAGGATGAGAGCTAGTGTGGTTCTGTTGCTGTTAGCAATTGTTTTGGTTCAACTTTTCGCAGTGTTTTTGTGTTTTTGCCCTGTCTGGAACATAGTAAGTATAGTAATGCTTAAGGCATCAGACTCTCAGCTAGTAGAACCCACGGTCGTGGGACCTTCGTCTCTGAATTTTTTTCATAAGGCTGCCATGAAAGTTGACAGGGCAGTCATCATTGGAAGGTCCGGTGGGATCGGGCCTTAGAGACCACCTTGAATTCGATCGTAGCCCCTTCAAATATGAATTTCTTCTATGGAAAAACATTAGCCTCAATTTACACGACAAAAAGATGAAACCAGGAAGTAATATCTGAGTGCTGAGGAACTTCATTCCTAGTATTCAAATATGTAAAAAATTATATTTAATTTTTTTTAAACTGCCTACACTTGAATTGACTTTTTTTTAATACAACAGTAAATCTGAAATCATATCCTTGAATTATTATTGTACAATTAAAATTAGTTCAATTTTTTTTAGGTTTAATTAGCTAGTTGTCAGAAATGCTTGGGAAATTAGATTGGGAGAGATACATGTTGAAAGAGAATATACTAGCAGCCCTTTTCAAGTCCCATAAGGGCCACGCGATATCGTTTTATTTTCAACTTGAGGACGATGGCCTTAAGCAAAAGTATGAAGACCTCGTCGAAATGTATGGTGGAAGATGCGACAAACTGCTTGAGGACATTCACCCGAGGACGGTCGTCATGGTGGAAGTTGACTACACGAATTACGCTTTCAGCAGGCCGGTGTTTAAGGTGAACTACATCCAGGATTGCATAAACGCCTCAGAGCTCCTTCCACTCACCGACTACCTTCACAACAAGCTGCACAAGTACTGTGGCCTCGATTTCTTAGACGTCATCTATCACAGGACGAGCATATTCAAGGACCCAACTAACTATCAAAGCCAGGTGAGCCCAGTCGCAAAACAGGATAAAACTCCGGGACTGCGTCAGCGCTTCAGCCAGGCTGAGAAAGTCGCGATCATCAAGTTCATCATAGGCAAGAATGAAACGTCAAATCTGAAAGACGACAGGATTTGGCTCAAAATGGAAAAATATAACATATGTCCCAAAAGGACTTATCAAAGTATGAAGACCCATTTTCTCAAATACTTAATTCACAACTTGCACAAATTTGACTTCTTAACTAACAAACAAAAGCAGGCTATACGTGAGGGTGCTTCATGAAGTCTTCTACCAAGAACATACACTTTTATTGTAGTTCCATTACATGAAGATTTTTTTTCCTTTTGAAGTTGTTCTATTGTGATATCTAAATGATGTAATGACTTTTTTATTAAACGAGTTTTTACAATAAAAAAAATTTATGTAAAAAATTAAAAATAAATTCATATTTCCAAAAAGTTATGCAACCTGGCCTAAACCCCATGATGATGCATAATGAATTAAATCTACATAACCCCAATATATGGGTTATGTAGATTTAATTGTATATTTAAATCTACATAATAATTAAATTGTTTAAAAAATATAAACTTAATTGTGTATTTATTTAAAGAAAAATGTAAATAGCATTTGAGAGTATATTTTTTTGTAAATGGTAATTCAACATAAATTACAATTAATATTTTAAATCCATTTGGTATTTTGTACTCCTTTATTGCCATAACTAAGTCACCCTGAATGATTAGGATATAAAATAAACAACAATATATTTTAAAAAATTTGCTTTTATTTTTATGTATTAAAAAAAATACGTTGTTCATGGAACAAAATAGTGACAATTAAGATCTTGAATTTAAAATCTACTCTACAATGTTGTTACAATAATCTAGGGTTTTTCATTTAATTATTTTCATTCTAAGGAAATACAAATAATAATTAAATTCATATAATAAACACTATGGGCGGAGGTTACTCTTGCCCGATCTGTTCCTATTTAGAATAAAGCATTGTATTTAAAACAAAAAAAATTTGACTGTTTTAGAAATTAGATGAGACACATCTATCGTTTATTTACATTACACAAAAGAAAATACTTGTTTTTTGTCTTTGAACAAAACTGCTGGTGCAAAACTGTTTTATTCTCTTCTGAAAGTGTTTAATAAAACTATTTTTCTAATAAATCCACACACCAAATACAATTAATTATATACACAAAATGATCGATACAAGCCTCTGAAATAGGCCAAAATGTAGTATAAAATTATCGTCCATCAACTGTAACGGGAAAAAAAGGGAATTAGAAAACAATATCGTGATTTGAGTTTCTGTTTAATAAAAAAAAAAACTTACTATAAGATGACAGATCGATTTCGTCTGGTAACTCAGTGATATTAACATCAAACCTATCTTGGACACTGTTTAATACTTTGGCGTCGTTTTCATCACTGGCAAATGTAATTGCCAATCCCTGTTAACAAAATATTATTAATGCTGAATTAACAGTCTTTTAAATCTTAAAGTACCTTGGTGCCAAATCTTCCAGCTCTGGCAACCCTGTGCAAGTAAGCGTCGCTGTCTTCAGGCATGTCATAATTAAAGACGATGTTGACTCTTTCTATGTCCATTCCTCTAGCGAAGAGGTTAGTTGCGACCAAAATTCTCTATAGGGAATAAATAAAATTTTAGTAAACTGTTTAAGGATTCAAAGGAAAAGTAATATGTTACTTTTTGGAAATCTTTGAACTCTTGGTATTTTGAAAGCCTTTCTTCTTGGTTCATTGCTCTGTGAATCGCGACTGCGGGGAAATTTTGGTCGCAGAGCAGCTGTGCAAGCGCCATACATCTCTGGACTGACTTGACAAAGATGACGACCTAGATGAAAATATCCAATTTCTCTTTTAAAACCGATTCCCCCGATTGGGTTATTTACAAAAAAAAAATGAGAAATAAATTTGGTCCCCTTTGTTGTGAATGCTTTTTATAAATCAAACAATTCTTTCAAGAAGCTGATATCCTCTTCAAAGTTTCCTCATTGTTTCATCAATGTTTTTAAAGATTTTTTTTTTTTTAACTGTCGTCAAATCGTTCAGAAAATTCGACTTTCTCCGATCCGATAGACGTATAAAGTTGTAAACAAGACTAGGACCTCCTTTAGATTTGTTTTTAATTGATGACAAATAGATACAAACCTGGTTGAACTCCAATATGTCAAGTAAATCAAACAGTTTTTTGTTCTTCTCATTCTCTTTTAATTTAACATAGTGCTGCTGAAGGCCGTGAAGAGTGAGCTTGGCCTCGTCGTCCACGTAGACCTCCATCGGCTAAAATCAAACTGAAAACTCAGACAAACATTCACATGTTATGTAGATTTTTTTAATATAATGTTAATGGAACAGATTTTGGAACACCCAAGGTTTTTAAAAGGGATTCTTTTTTATTTACAAGCGATTCAGACTGAATACAATTAACTCCTTGCTTCATTACAATAGAATATTAATTGTAGGAAAGAAAGAAAAAAGGAAAGAAAGTCTTGACATTATTGTTTGAGGAAGGTTGGGTGAAAATTATAAAAGGTCATACAAACACCAGATAATGTGCAAGGTTTGAGGAGTTAATTGTATTTTTACATATTTAACATTAAAAATACTTTTGAAAAATACAACTGAAGGTTCAACATTTTTTTTATACATAAGATTGGAGTACATCAAGCTTACATATTTAAAAGGTAGGGAGAGGGATTTTTTGTCAGTTTTCTTTGATTGCTTTTTTCTGATTTTTTTGTACATACGGTTGTGATGACTCAATGTCTCAGTGCAGACGTCAGCAATCTTCGCTGGTCTCAAAGCTCCTCACCATCCCTCATAAATCCGCTCCACCATATGCAATCTCTCCGACTTCGGGCGTCGAGCATGCAGTTAATCCCCGATTATTTTATATACCGTTGTTTTGACATATCCCCGACAGATTCTATTCCCCGTATATATTTTGCTTACTTTTTTGTTTTTAAATATTGCAAATACGAATCGTTTTTTGTTTTGTTTTTATGTTTGCAAACATATCGGAACAAAGGCACGGCAGGATGATGTGAGGCTGTTTGTAACATTCTCGTAGTCGGCGAGGAGATGCTTTGATCCAATGATATAAAAGGATTTTTTCTTTAAAGGGATATTTTCGGAAGTGATAAATAGCTTTGGAGAGACGGGATTGTTTTCTTGTTTGGTATAAGTGGTTTGGTGGGAACTTGGAAGAGGTCGTTGTGATCTAGAGGAGGTACTTAAGAGTTTAGAAGGAGTAATTACATCTTGCATGAACTTCTTGCAGACGGGCCTAATATCCTTGCTTAGAGTAGCACTGAACATCATTACTTGCTTGTTGTGCGGTGTATTACGAAATATTTCCTGTACATCGCGCCTCATGTCTACAACAAAAAAGAAGAAAAACAATTTGTAAAACCGTTAAAATTTTAAGATGAATGCAAGTAAGTAAACTAAGAAAATTTTATAAATAGGTTACATAAAAGTCACAAAAAGAAGTTTTTTGAAGGGTCTAGTTGCATTTTTTTGCCCTCCCTGGATTTAAATATCAAAACTACTCTCAATAAATGTGTAAGAATGTAAGAAGTTTATGTGCCTCATCATATATCAGATTTTCACAACTAAAATTTTAGTTCATTTTCAAAAACTTCTGACTACAACAATTTCACAACCAAATTATCATACATAATAAATAACAAATGCTCATAATAAAAATGGAGATAGGCAATCAGATCACGATAATTCATCAGTTTATTTACAGATGTCCCTATCAAATATCATCATTTTGCCATCCAATCATTGCAAATATTACTAACACAAACGATCGTACAAAAATAACATGTACAAGTCTTACAGTATGGCAATCAGATCACGATAATTCATCAGTTTATTTACAGATGTCCCTATCAAATATCATCATTTTGCCACCCAATCATTGCAAATATTACTAACACAAACGATCATACAAAAATAACATGTACAAGTCTTACAGTATGGCAATCAGATCTCGATAATTCATCAGTTTATTTACAGATGTCCCTATCAAATATCATCATTTTGCCAAAGTTTTAACAATCAGATTATCAGTTATTTGTATAATTAAAAATGTTCCACCACATTACATGATTTCGAAATAATAAAGTACATGCTCGTTCATTTTCATTAACAACTGTCACTCTAAAATTGCTTTCAGACACTCAGATAGAGAGTTCAAGAGTAAATTTATTATTGTAATCATTAGGATTTTCATAAATTGAAATCATCACTGTGCCATGAAAGCTTCAGTCAATAATAATAATAATATTACTAATAAAAGTTGCCATACATGTGTCTATTATCAGAATTTTATTATTCTAAAACTTACAATTTAACATTAATTTCTAAATAGATATTTTAAAAAATGAATGTCTAGTTGAATGGAATAAATAAAATATATTAATTAGAACATAGTAAGCCCTCGATTATGACCCGGAAACGGCAATATTAAGTGAAGATTATTTGAGTAACTGATGAAAAACTGCTACAAAGATACTTTTTACACTAAAATAATTATACAAATGAAAAGAAAATGAGCAAAAGGGTTTTTTTGAGGGAAAAAATTGAGTATAAATCTAATGATAAACTGCAGAAATGACTGCTATAATCAAACTCTTACACTGAAGTAATTATAAAAATTAAAATAAAATTAGCAGAAGGGGTTTTCGAGAACAATTTTAACGAGAAATAGTCACACAACCTATAGCAACTAAGACTGAATGTGGACAGTATGAATTTGGGTGTAATAATTAAAACTAGAGGGGAATTACTAAATCCTAATTAGAAATCCTACATCTCCGGAAGAATTTAAAACCTCTGCTGCTTATGTAATAGGAAAGAGAATGAAGATATATTCCACTTTTTGGGTCGTTGTCAAGTATTAAAAAACCATCAGGGAAAATTTTTTTAGTTCTAAACAACTGTCGGATGTAGCCGTAGTCATCCTTTAAACGGAACCCATTAGCTAAATTTAATAAATTATGTAAATGAAGCTTCTCTTTAGAGAATTTTTTTAGTTGAAAATTTTAATTACTAATCAATAATTTAATTACTTTTCTTTTATTCTCTTGTATTAGTTTGTAATAATTATTTAAATCCATATATGTTTAGCAGTCATAATTGATTATATTAAATATTTAAATTAATTGTTTTAAATAAACGTTAATAACTAATGAATTCTCTTAATTGAAATGGATAATGGCAATCAGATCATGATAATTCATCAAACAATTTACAGATGTCCCTATCAAAAATATCATCATTTTGCCATTAAGCTTGCATTGGACAATCAATGTCCAAGAAAAGAATTTTTTACAAGCTATTTATATTATACAGTCGACTCGAATCTCAGGGGGAAATTAAAAAATTCGAGTTACCGAGTTTTGCAACTATCGATATATTGAGCTAGCTTATCCGTTCACTGCATCATATTTATCCCGTTTTTCTATTTTTTAAATTGTGGATAAGGTGTTTGGTGGAATGTCGAATTTTTGGCAATGTCGCCTTTTTTTTAATTTGTTATCTACCGCCTTACTAATATTGGGTTTCTCCTTCACGCTTAATGTTTTACAATGACGTTTCAGACATTGTTTTGTACCTATGTGATCAAACACAAACAAGAATGATCTGAAGAAAATAATAAATAAAAATAAAATTTAAAAAAAAAATAGAAAAAAAATATATAATAAGCAAGAACTAACTTTGCTACACGCTTTCTGGTGGAGGACTGTTATAAGAACAGGAGAGAGAGAGGAGAGGTCCATCAGGTAAAGAAATGGCGCTGGTCTCATGGCCTTACCAAAGAAGGTTCATCTAATCGAAGTTTTCATTTTGAAACATTTGACTTATAGAGATAAAAATGTGGGCCAACACTATAGGAAAACGAAGGAATTTGAAAAAATTCAAGTTAAGGTTCCAGTTATGAGATATATATTTCTATATTTCTAAACAATACTGGGCATGTTAATAACAGGTGTCACACCAAAATGATCGATCATTACTTGATAAATCAAAATTAATTTGCTGATTCCATTAACACAGAAAATGGCAATCAGATCACGATAATTCATCAAATAATTTACAGATGTCCCTATCAAATATCATCATTTCGCCATTCAGCTTGCATGTTACAAATCTATGTTAAAAAAAAAAAAAATTAAAAACCTATGTGAATTTTGTTTTGTCTAGAATTCTTGATGGCAATGATGGCAGCCAACAAATGCTTGTAACCTAAAGTGTAGAGTTTCCGGTTTTTCTTTATTTTATAAAAATTGAAAATAGTTTTGACTGCCTTTCCAAAACCTGTATTATTTTTGCACCAGCCCAATATTATATTCCTAAAAGCAAAAAAAAAATTTAAAAACCTATGTGAATTTTGTTTTGTCTAGAATTCTTGATGGCAATGATGGCAGCCAACAAATGCTTGTACAAAGTTAATTAATTGGCCCAGTTTCAGTGGTACCAACTTGCATGTCCAAGATCACTGTTAAAAAAGGATTTTTTTACAAGCTGTATTTATTTTATATTTCTAAGAAATACAAAACATGTCCATTCAAAATAGTTGACACACCCAAATCAGCATTTATAAGTCATTAGGGTTTTGTTTTCAAAAGCACTCAGATAGAGAGTTCAAGAGTAAATTTATTATTGTAATCATTGGGATGTTCATAAACGAAAATCATCACTGTGCCATGAAAACTTTATTTAATAATATTGGCAATAAAAGTTTCTTATATACAAGTTTTCAATATTTTTTTAATCTTACAAATTATATGATATTTTCAATCCATTATTAAAGCTACTCAATAAATATAATAGAAACCTTTAATGAATGAGTTGGCTTTTTTCTCGATAAATAAACAAAGTAAAGAAGTATTACAATTGGAATTCATCATATTAAAACATTCTAACAAAAATAGTTCTATATAAACTACTATATTGATGTTCTGTCTATCAAATGTGGCTGACAATCATTTTATTTCTTTTATTCTTTTGTATCATTTTAGTTCATGCTAAAGTTAAATGTTTGGACATTATAATTACTGATTATTTTTTGAAGATCATGAGATCGGTCTAGTGTGACATGCCAACGTTTCGATCTTTATTATTTATGATGATGCATGATCATGCTCAAAGGGTTTGTTTCTGTGTAGATGTGTCAACACGATTGAGTTTCAATACAACACACAGTAATGACACATCCACACAGAAAAAAAACACTTTGAGCCCTGAAGATGACCTCAATAAAGATCGAAATGTTGGCACGATAAAGAAAATGTTTTTCTAAAACCTATGTCTCACCAGACCGCATCTCACAATCTCCAAATAAATAATCATTAATTAACGGTCACTTAACACCACACATTATAATTATTTTCACCCATATATGTTTAGCAGTCATAATTGATCATATTAATTATTTCAATTAACTACTTTTTTATCTAAGGTCTTGGCTGAAATTAAAAAGTTAGTGTCACGAGTGGGATTCGAACCCACAACCTTCAGCTAAAATGTATAAATAATTGTTAATAACTAATGAATACTCTTAATCAAAATGGACAATGGCAATCAGATCATGATAATTCATCAAACAATTTACAGATGTCCCTAGCAATTATCATCATTTTGCCGTACAACATTGATGAACAGGTCACTTATTAGATCAATTTTACTGAAATAACCAAGCCACTCCTTACACTGAAAGTCCTATTATTTCATTTCAGTGGTTTACCACGCGCTTATGTTCTGAAAAGATTTTAAACAGCTGAACTCTACTTTCCAACGGAATTGCAAGGTGCACTCAAGCTGATTTTACCAATTATCTGATAATTAATTTTATGATAGCAGTAATTATTATTAACAGGTTGCCAGAGCAAAAGTCGCATAATGAATCCGTGGGACTGGAAGACAAAAGATAAATTACAAGTCAGAATGAGAGACAAGAGAAATATACCCTGAGTCAATTGAATTGATTTGCTGCCTTGTGACGCTTTTTATTTATTTGTTATTATAAACCCTTTCTCAGCATTCTAATCCATCCCGTATCCAGTCTCTCCAATCCAAACTTCTAAGAAAAATCTGTAACGCTCCCTTCAAAGGCTCCAATAAAACCATTCACACAACCATATTCTATTCGTTCACAACCTTGTAAGACCATCAGAAATTCTAAATTTCTGTACAACCAAACCTCCACGTCAAACAACTTTTTACACCAACCCTACCAGTTATTTTAAAAAATCATTTCTAACAAGACCCCATATTTCTGATTTATATAATAATATGGTTTTAAGCCGTTTTTTTTTTTTTTTTAATAATAATAATATAAAAATAGCTATGCTACAAATAGCTTTTGAAGGCACTCAGATAGAGAGTTCAAGAGTAAAATTTATTATTGTAATCACTGTATTCATAAATTAAAATCATCACTGTGCCATCACACTCTAATCAGTAACGATGTAGCGACAAACCGACCAGTAGTTAATCGTAGAAGTGGATCAGGGACTGTACGGATATTATGCACCACATCCCTGATCCACTTTTGCAATAACAATTTAACTTCAAAATTAATAAAAAATAATAATTGCATTCTTTTAACCAATCAATTTCAAATTACTGCATTTACTGATCTCATTATCAACTTCTCTAATGAATTATTAAAACACAATTCATTGTATTAAATTACACAACAAAAGATTTTTCTCTGTATTTCCCTCAGCATGCAATAATCATCAGTCAAATATTAATTGTTGATTTAATACTTGACTATTAAGTATTATAGTATATTACGTATTACCACTATGGGCTGTTAAATCACACAAAAATTAAATAGTGTACAGTATAGTATGTTAATTTAGCCCCTATCAATTAACATAATTTTGCTATTCAACTTGTAATTATTTTTTTAAGTTTCAACACAACACATGTATTTAATTAATAATGATTAAAAAAAATTCACCATGCATCTCAATATTAAAAAAAACCAACAACGCCATAAAAAGTTTTCCCTATAAAAGTTACCTATCAATAGAAATAATTTTTTTATTATCAACCATCTTTCCAATAAATAAGAATTCACTTTAATTGAAATCAGGCCATGATAATTTACCCTTACACATGTCCTTATCAAATATTTTATCATTCTATTAAGCAAAATATGGCACTCAGATAGAGAGTTCAAGAGTAAATTTTAGTATTGTAATCACAACTTGTTCATAAATTGAAGATCATCACCATGCCATAAAACTGCAATTATAATAAAATTTAAAATTATAATACAAAAATATATGTATACATAGTTTTTTAACATACTATATACATATATAGCATAACAATTTACTGTCTCCGTCAAAACGATGAATGGCAATCAGATCACGATAATTCATCAAATATTTACAGATGTCCCTATCAAATATCATCACTTTGCCATCCAACGAGTATTATAATAAATTTGTCACATTTTTTTTTAAATATATAATTATTTTAATTTTTAGGCCTTTCTGAAGGTGCTTAAAGTAATTTTCAATAATATGGTAATAATAAGAATTAAAATATCCGTAAAAAGTAAGACCAAAAAAAATCTGGCGTTAAAAAACATCAATAATTACAGTTAAATTAAGGAGTGCTCTCCAAATGGCAATCAGAGTATGATAATTCAACAGTTTATTTACAGATGTCCCTATCAAATATCACTTTGCTTTAACTTTAATAAAACATAACTGTTCTCTGAAGCCACACTAACCAACTAACCAGGCCAACAAGACACTGAAACACATTGAAACTCAAAAAAGGAGCGAATAGGTAGAACAGCATGCTCAGAGGTGGATGACTAGTAAGAATAAATTAGTTTATTTTAGTTAATTAAGAAATTTATTTCTTATAAATAGCAGAGAATGTTGTTGATACAACAAAATCAGCAGTGAAAATCTTTAGTTTCAAGGCACTCAGATAGAGAGTTCAAGAGTAAATTTGATTATTGTAATCATAGGATTCATAATTAAAATCATCATTGTGCGATGAAAGCATCAATCAATAATAATAAACTTTGCCTTATAGACATATTAATTGCACCGTACTTTAAAATAAAATTAAATATGATTCTATTCTACTTTTAGAACAAAATTTGAAAAAAATTCCATCAGCTAACAATAACTCTTCAAACAATTTGCAGATGTCCCTATCAAATATCATAATTTTGCTTTAACTTTAATAAAATATAACTGTACTCTGAAGCCACACTAACCCACCAACCAGACCAGCAAGACACTGAAATGCAAAAAAGGAGCGAATAGATAGAACAGCATGCTCAGAGGTGGATTAAAATCATTAATTAATAAGAATAAATTAGTTTTTCCGAAATGTATTTCTTTAAATAGCATAGAATGTTGTTGATACAACAAAATCAGCAGTGAAAATCTTTAGTTTCAAGGCACTCAGATAGAGAGTTCAAGAGTAAATTTGATTATTGTAATCATAGGATTCATAAATTAAAATCATCATTGTGCGATGAAAGCATCAATCAATAATAATAAACTTTGCCATGACTTTGTTTAATCTACTCATGTCTTGCCAAGAGGGTTCTCATCACATAAACTGTTTTTTAAAGGTGGTATAATGAATAGTCCAAGAATGAGGAGGACAATGCCATGGTACTGCCAAATCGATACGATGCTGAGACCAAGATCAATGACACAATTAAAGCAATTTGTTCACTTCACAACTACATTAGAAAAAAATGTGACTCACAACAGAGCCCACCAATGTCGGAATATAATCTCCATATTAAGGTTATACCTACCCAATTGATTTTACACCCACTTCATGCAAAAATAAATGCTTACAGAACTGCAAATGTTTACAAAGAATGTTTATACCATTATTTTGTGACTCCAATGGCATCACTGCCTCAACAATGGAACTATTTTTAAATGGCTAAATTTTAAATTAAATTAAATTTTTTATAGTTTGACTGTTAAATTAATTTAACTAGTTTTTAATTTTTAAGTGGCTACACACTATCATTTACCTAGCTAATTGAAAAATAATTTTATTACATACCTCCTTACTTTATTATATATGTAAATATACATATATTATGTATTACCATTAGTTACTTTTTTGTTCATTCAGGTTATAATAATTTGTACAACTCATAAAAAACCTCATTCCACGCCTTCGTCCTTTCCTGTTTGTACAATTCGAGATGCTTTTCCGCCACCTGTACAAATTTTATGTTCGACGACTTCATGGGATACTAACCCGAAACATGCAACTAGCTCGATTTTTGCGTGCACTACAGGTCGCACTAGTCAAATCCAAGTAAAGCCTACCTACTTACACAGGAAGTTGTGACAAAAGTTGCGTCACACTTGCATCAAACCCGAGGGCCTAAATGATTTCCCAAAGTGACCAGTGCTAAGAGCACATCAACAAAACACTAACTACAGAACGAAATAGACTAGAGAAAATTCTAAGAAACTTGAGGATGTAAGGAAGCAATCAATATGTGGAAATTTAGAGGAATATTACGAAGAACAAGTTTGCATGCATATTGAGGAATGAATGGTATTGTGACATGATGGGATGGAGCCCCCCCCCATTTTGAAGCATTGGTAAAAGAATGGATCAGCACACACTGAAATGCAAAAGCATAGCTGAAAGGCATGTGGTGCTATGTCAGTGGTACAGATTTTGCAGCACAAGTTGCAGTCGTGTTTTACTTTGCATCATGTTAACGAGCAAGCGGACTGTATTCTTTAGAAAAACAAATTTTGAACATTAAAACATTGAATTGAAAATTCACCATCAGAACTCCTCGAAGCTCCACAATTATTCAAAAGGGAAAAAACAGGTGAGGATGGTGCAGGAAAAACAGGATCGGGTTACTCTTTACCTCGTTTTCTCAAAGAGCTGTTGCCAACAAATGATCTCGCCGAAATAAAAAAGATAAAAAGGAAAAAATTTTTAAACGCCAACAATTTGCAAAACGGCTGATGTGAACTGTTCGAGCAACAACAAACTGTCCTGTGGCATAAACATTGCCAGACCACGAGCTCAAATCCCAAAAAATGGCATTAAAGGATAACATGCTTTTCCAAGATGGACGTTCAGTCTGTTTTCAATTATTATTTTAGAACAGTTTCAGGATTTGTGATATTAAAAATTTAAATATTTACAATCTGTTAGGTATATACAGCAAGGTAAGTTAAAGTAATAAAAATATTAACATGAATGTAGCAGATAATGGAGGCCCACATGTACTACATAAAATTTTTCTTGATTTGTTAAATTTCCTCAAAAAAATGTAAACCCCTCCTGAACAGGCACTCCTCAATTCGTTGTAGAGTTCTCTGTATTTTTTTTTTTAAACCTTTTTTTAAATATTAAATAAAACCTACCATAATTTAGCATTGGTTTCCAAGTATTATTAAACCATTCCATAACACAATTATTCGAAGAAGTTTACTATTTTGCTTTTGGTGCTGAGAAGCATTTACCAATACTAGATTTCATAATTTTCAGAATATTCATAATGTGATTTACAGAGATCAATGTCATGGCAGTTACAAACGTACCATCTAAAATTATGTACTGATATTTTAACAAAAATGATTAAATGTTATCCACCAATAGTGAATAAACTGATAAATGATTCACCCCAGTACTAAAATTATATTTCTTTTTTGTAAATAAGATTAATATTAAGTAAAAAGGATTAATTATTTGAAGACTCACCTAGCTGTTCCAACATTTTATCGCACTCATCCAAAACGAAATGTTTCAGGTTTTTCAAATTGAGTTTCTTGTTCCTGACAAGAGCCAGGATTCGGCCCGGCGTCCCTACGACAATGTGGGGACAATTGTTCTTCAAAACCTCCTCATCTTTTGTTATAGGAAGACCTCCGAAGAAGACTCCCACCTGATATACAAAATAATTAATTGATTAAATGAATTATGTATAATTAATTTAAATAATGGTATAATAAACACAAGCGAACTATGCAAATGGAGATTAAGAAAATGTATAAGGCAGAAAACTTTAAAATAGTTCAGGTTTTGAAGAAAATACAATTAATTACTATTACTATTTCAAATTACTACCAATTTTACAAATTAAATTTATTATGTTCATTATGGCATTGGTTTGTAAAAACCACCCAATTTAACAAAAAAAAATTGATTTTTTTTAAATCTTAAAAGAATTCCTAAAGGTCAAACGTCGATAACAGTCTTCTGTTTCACAGTAACAGGGACACCGATATAATTTCTAAAATACCCCCCAACATCCTACAAGCTTCAAAACAAGGGTTTTATGGAAGGGGTGTGTCGTTGTGGACGATGTCCGTATATATAGGGAAAGGTTGTGTTCATTTCAGAACAATGGCTGTAACAAATGTTTTAAATCATGAATTTGCAAAGCAAAGAAACCCAACTAATGAAATTAAATCTTTTTTGGGCCTAAAACTTACATACTATTGAAAATCAATAGATTATGTCAATTAAAATTCAAATCTAGTGTAAAAGAATGCAATTTTTAAACCCTAACCCCTTCCCAATTCTTTATTTCTATAATTTCAGTCTGATTGTGTTTATATCAATATATATAATTTTCTAAACCATATCTGTATAATGAAACAATAGCTATTTACCTTAATGTGTGGCATGTATTTAGAGAATCTCTCGTACTCTTTACTGATTTGAAAAGCGAGCTCTCGAGTATGGCACATGACAAGCACACAGATCTGGTTCTCGGTGAGTTCCATCTGTTGCAGAGTTGCAAGCACAAACACGGCAGTTTTACCCATACCAGATTTGGCCTGGCATAGGATGTCCATGCCGAGAACTGCCTGCGGTATACATTCATGTTGAACTGGAATTAAAAAAGAAAAAAAATGATTATAATGTTTAATCAATCGACAAATAGGTGGAATCTACCTTCAGATGGATGTTCAAAACCACAATCGACAATTGCTCTCAAGATTTCGGGTTTAAGGAGGAAGTCTCTGAAACCTGAGCTGTGGATGGAAACATACGCTCCTTTCACATCCTTCCTTTGGTTCTCCCCGGCTCCTTCTGTCAATGGGTGTTCTACCTGCTCCTCGTCTTCATAGTCCAAAAGATCATCGGTCTCTGCCATTTTTTGTTTGGTGTTTTCTGTTCAAAATTTGAAAAAATAATATATTCTTTTGTTTCTCACAGCAAACAATTTTAATGAGTTTGAGTTGATTCATTTTATAAGGGCCAATTTGAAAAATTACAACAAATTAAAATAAATATAAATCAATCTATCCAAAGCCTGGCTGATCCGATCTAATTGATTGGTATGTTCGAGAGAACGTATAGTGTTCCTTCTGCTATTAGCATTGAATTTGTTTTCCCTTTGTTATTACCAATTAGCCATAACTCTACTATAGGGATTACCCAAGTTTTCCTACAAGTAATATTTCACTAATAATTGTTAATTTTTATTTGTAAGTTTCTTCCTTCCCCATGGCTAGATATGGGCATGGGGGAGGGGGGGAAAGTCTGCATTGAGCATATATTTCTGGAGGTCTTTATAGTTATTATTCTCTGCAGCCAACAATGATTTGAAATTGTATGGTTTCTCTACATTGCATTCTGTATAGGTCAGTGAAAATTATTGTTGCAATTGAGAATAATATTTGTAAGCAGTGTATAATCATATCTTCAGTGGTTCTAAGGAAACTGGTAAATAATAAATATTAAGTAATATAGCTGTAAATTTTCTAGCTGTGAAAAGCTTGATGGACCTCCATTCTTGTTACTTCTAATAATCGTTTGTTCATTACGCCCTACCAGGCTGTATGTTACTTCTCCTGGAATCCTCTCCCATTCTTCCAGTAAAACTGTTTTCATCACTCCTTTGTCTGTAACTCTTGCTAATCATATTCGTTGATTAATTTCATCCCATTTGATTGGATTAAGGTCTGGGAGGTGTCTTCAGTTGCCCGGGTGTATTGTAGAACAGCCAACTCCTTTGTTCCCATGGCTACATGCTTCGGGTCATTATCTTGTTGAAATTTAAATGAAAGACCCAGACTCAATTTATTGGCTCTTTGTTGCAAATTATTTCAAAGAATTCGATGTAGATACGTTGATCCATAATATCATTTACAATATGTAATGTAAGGTACTAACCCTTTCACACTTATACAGCCCCAACTCATAATACCACCACCTCCATGTTTAAATATGGGCCTCATATTTTTTGTTTTCAATGTTTGATTTGCTTTTTGCAATACTTTTTGTCATCCATCTGACCCAAAGATGTTAAATTGACTTTCATCCGAGAAAATAACCGGTTCCCAAAACGATGGTGGCTTTTGTACATAGTATTTTGCAAAATCCAAATGGTGTTAACGATTTAATTTGCTAAACCACAGTCGTGTGGCAAGTTCTCAGCAATGGTTGGAGCGTTAGTCCACAGTTTGTCAAGACAGTTTTTAAAATTTCACGTTTATGCAAATGATTAATTTTTGGTGGTAGCCCGCTACATGGTCTGCTGGATGGCAACCTAATTCAAAATATCTTTTTATAATTTTTGAAACCGTACCTGAATTTTTACCCTTCCAACTTCCCTCAAGGTCTTACCTTGATTTCTTAAAGAAACAATTAATTTGTGTACTCCCATTATGAAAGCTAATCAGTCTGAAAGGATTTCTATTCATATGATTTGGTTTCTGACCTTTGTTCTCTATGCCCATTGCGAGTATAATGAGTTGTTATTGTTGAAATACATTGTACGTTTTGTTTACATTCCCAGTATAATTCATTACAGTGTTCCTAGATTTTTTTCGAATTAAGAAGTCTTTTTGTTTTTGTTAAGAATAGTTGGCATGCATAACTGTTATATTTTGTTAAAATAAAAGTTAAATGTTTGTTGCGTAAAATGAGAGTAGTTTCATTATGGGGAAATAACCTATTTTAAACAGGGGGCATAAGTGTAAAACTTAGTTGCGTTTTTTTGCCCAGTGTATGTTGCTAGAAGTTCATAAAATTAATTTTATAAATTAAATTGTATTTTAAGGCTGTCGGTGTAGGGTCTGTCTTTGGAAAACAAAGAGTATGAAATGTTTTATGGTTTTAAGAGCTATTTTAATATGTACTGTATCTTATACAGTCTTGTATATTACCATTTCAGTATAATTAATGTTTTATGTTAGGGTTATTGCAACTTTATACGGCCATGGGGGAAATTTTGCTGTTGTAGCATTTTGTGTTTATGAAATCGCTGACAATTTTTTTTTACATTTTTGATTACTGTAATTTAAAATAAATATAAACAAATGAATAGCGATAATTTTTTTCCTACCGTTGGATTCGAAGCGTTTATTGATTTAAATAGAAAACCAGGCCACACTTAGATAACTTTAAGAGAATTATTTTTGTAAATTACGCTAATAATTTATATTAGACATTAAAAGTGTACCGTCCAAGGGTGGAACAAGCAATAAAGCGACGGTTGGAAAACGCCGGCGGAAAAACATGCGGCTCGGTTCGGCCCGGGAACGGTCCAGGCTGGAAAATAAACCACGCGGACGGCGATTATTGTCAAAGAAGGGCGCCGCGGGCCGGCCGCCGTTGATTAAAAACGCCGGGGCGAGTTTAAAACGTGATTTTCGACCACTTACCTGAAAAGCTTTGGAGGCGACGGAACGGCGACCAAAGATGGCAGACGGGCAAAAGGAGAGTTTGCGCTTGCCGGAGCGATGGCGAGGCAGGTAGGAGAAAAACGGAAATTCAAGTTTCAATGCCTTCACGATCGGCTCTGACTCACAAAAATAATAATTTTATTTTGCTATTTCTCATAAAAATACCACTAAATTGTCAAATTATTAAACAAATTTATTGTTTTTTTTCCTAACGTAGTATATTAACTCGGTACTCAAGATTATTTTGACACTGATAATAATAAATAGAATAAAGTATCATCAATGGCATCGAATAAAATCGATGGCAGTGGACATAATTATACAAATTTTAAAAACCAAGAATAAAATTCAAAATTCATTAGGACAACAAACAACTTAAAAGGTGAAATTTTATTAAATTCTTTAATCTAAAATAATATAATTAAAAAATGTAATATAAAAAAAAATATGTAATAGTTCGGCCGAAGGCCATATAAAAAAACAAAAGTAATATTCTAAAGAACAGAACAGAAATTTTATTTACAAATATATAAACTGCTCAAAAATTAATAGGGATATTGGTAATTTTGTAGTATTTACTTTCCCTTAAAATTTTATTTTATTTTTATTTGGATTAAATTTATTAGAAATTATTATGTTTTTACTGAAGGATAATTAATTAAGGATTTTGAAAAATAACAAATTAAAACAATTAATACTGTCTATAATGTCCTCTCTTAGCTAAATACCTTTGTGCACCTGTTGGGCATACTGTTAATAAGGCTGACACTCACTTCATAAGGAATTTGACTTCATTTGACACTGCACTCTGTTGGAGGTCAGCTAGCTGCAGATGGTGATCAAAAGCCTTGTCTGCAACGCACATCCCACATGTTCTCAATGGGATTGAGATTTGGTTTTGGAGACAATGGGGGAATGGCGGGTAGGAAATTTACAAGTTTCCTAAACATTGATGAACAATTTACAATATTCATCAATGTTTAGGAAACTTGTAACCATTACACTGCCTCTTTCAAACTGCACTGAAGGGGAGTACAAACTGAGGCATTGTACGCATTCCCTGTTGTCAGTAGACTCCTTCAGCACCTGCTATCACTATACAGACAGAAACACGATTAATCCGTAAACATAACAGCATTCCAATTGGTGTTCTCTTCCAGGCACTCGCTGCACCATATTCTCCTGAGTTATGGTGGCGGGCTGTTGCTGCAGGTCATCTCAAAGGGGCATACAATGTGAGGACAAATTCCCACAAATGATTAGGAATAGTTTGTGTTGATAAAGGCCTTGCCAAAATATCTTGTACTTCATTTAGGATCTGGTGGTAATATTTCTACCATCCCTTAGCATCGTAATGCACTGAGATTCACTACCAGGCCTCTCCTTTGACACTTCCAGCCTCTCGGAATTGAGCTAAAGCCCAGGAGACAACGCTCTGAAAAATGCCACCTGCCTCTGCGAATCCACCTGCCGGTGCCCTTGATGACTCATTCTCACAATAATATTGAGGTACTTCTGGTTCAAAATTATGTCTTTCCATGGTTAAAGAGAATTCAGCTGAATTAAAATGAAGAAAAGGTGTTGGTTTACAGAATGAGTAATCTTCATATTTACTTTTCTTAAGTAAATCCGTGATTAAAAATGAGGATTAACATTTCTTCGTTTTTGGTTTGCATTTTCCATTTTGTTTTATACAACTAATAAGAATATATTGGTTAATTTAATTAAAATTAATAGAATAAGAATAAATTGTAAATATCCATATTCATTTTTGAGCAGTGTACATTATACAATCAGTATTAGAAAAATCAACCACCTTTCCTGCCCTTGGCAATGTTGGGACTGTGTCGGTCTTCAAGGAAATTTGAAATCACCTTTAAAAAGCTTAAATTTGTCAATCTGTAGATGGAAGCTTGTTTTGCCATGATGATCTTAATAGGTCATAAGGTAAATTGAATTTACTTTCTGCTTCAAGACCATACCTTGATCCAGATGTTCATGATTATACATTATATACGATGGTTTGGTGGAGTTTCTGTCTAGCAACAGCTACCTCCAGTTGGTTAGGATATAACAAAATTTTCATTATTTACATTATTTTATATTGATGAAAAAATATTAGATAACAAACCCAAGCTATCATGGCCAAATTATAGGAAAGTATTCTTCATTCTCTTGTGCATGTACCCTTCATCCAAGCAGCAGATAGTACTGGTGCTAGATGTATTAGTCGGAGTGTGCATTATACTGCACCCTTTAAGAGCTATTGTATCTCCCGTTCTGTTCTTAAAGCACTACTGGTTCTAGCATCTCATTGTTTAAAAAATTGAAAGGTTGCATCTCTAATGTAATCCAACACCATCAACACATTTGTCGCATTGTGCAATTCCGATATGTGTGTATGTTCAATGTCTTACAAGCTACATCTTTGAAGCTAACTCTCTGCTCAACCATGACCGTCATTCTCTCAATCAATGGTCAAGAAATAAAGGCATTCTTTTAAATCCTAACAAATCCCAGTGCTTAGTAATTTCCAATAAGTCCATTAATTCAGATTGTCCTAACCCCTACGTATATCTCCATAGGCTCCCTTATTAATTTTTGTCATAAAGTTAAAAATATCGGCATCATTTTTCACTCCATGACCATATGAGCTCTATTAATAGAAAGTATATCTATTTTCTTTGACACCTTAGCTTTTTCACTCAACTGAAAACTAGAGTTCTCCTTATTAAAGGAATTCCTTTATTCTCGTTCTGCATTTTTCCTCTTTGCTTAGACTCTCAATCTACTCATCACCTACAAATTGCTTATCATTCCTCCATATTTTGTGCTTACTCATGCCTTGGGTATTCATCTTGTGATGAAACCAAGGATCATATTTATGTCTTCAGCAACCTTAACATCCTAAGCACTTATAAACTTAGAGTTTTAAAATATATATTTAAAATTAAATCAAATAAATATTTATCAACTTTTTCCCTCATTCCTTATCCACACGCATCAATCAAATATCTCAAGTTGCCGGATAAGAAATAAATTGCCTTTTTCACAATAGGTACTTATTTCATAATGTGATATGGTCTAATATAGACCTTCAGTTACTCTTTTTTTATAAATAAAATAGTTTGTTGGTTTGTTACATAGCTATAAATTTAAAAGTGGATATCTGGACAACTATGGATTTGGCAAGTAGTCTGTCAAGACCTACAGTTGTAGTCCGGTTCAGTTGCAGTTGCCTTGTAAGTTTTGTGAATGGCTCTTCTAAGTTTGTTCACGTGCCTCATGGCTGGGGTATTATTCCACCAAACTTTGGACTCATTAAGGATCCATTTAAAGATGTAATCCACTTCTGTGGCAAGATGCTAGGCCACAGTAGGGTTCAGGACCTAGATAGTCCATGTTGGCTCCCTCTTTAGCCAACATATCAACCTTTTTAGTGCCTCTATGCCCCAAATGCACAGGGACCCATGCTTACCAGATCGACCCTGCTCCATACTATGTAACCTTAGAAGTTGAGCAAATTTACATCAGGTTTTTTTTACGAGGCTTACAGCAGAAGTCATATAAACCCTCAGGGTGCCGGTGTTTTTGAAAATTTTTGACCTTTACCTTACAGTGATGAGCACCGTGTCAAGACTAAACCTATTGCATGCTAAAAGTACTTAAATTACTAACTATAAATACATGTTTAGCTTATAACCTATGTGTTGGGAATTAAAATGGTCGTTGTCAATATAATTATCAAAGCCTAATTTTGTATAGGTCTGCAAATCATTGAGATTCTCTTGGCTCATAAGGTTTGATTTCAAGGATAAATTCATAAAATTACCATAAAAAATCATGCACACTAAAAATAATAATAATCAACGGTTTAATTCTGTTTGCTGTTACTTTACTGTTGATGAATTTCAACTTAGCAGTGTTAAACAATAAATTGAAGCTTAAAACAGGCAAGACCATGAATAACAAAAATCGAAAGAAACTTGGAACATGAAAGAAATACTTATTCATTATAGAAAATATATGAATAATTTTATTGATTAATAACAACACAATAATAATGAACACTTTTGACTATCAGAAAAAAATTAGGAATGAACTGAATTTTTTTTTTTTTTTTGCGTGCCAATCATGCCACTCAATATTTTGCTATTTACAACATAAGAAATTGTTATTAAAATTATTCAGCATATGCTTTATATAAATATATTACAACATTGTTTCATACACTATACAAGATAAAAACAAATTGGATAAATATAGATACACAGTGCAAAATTGATTTAGCTTGGGGGAAATCAACACACCAGTGTTGATGTTGAACATCAGGTTAACATTATTAAACAGTAATGAGTTTTCCAGAGCAGAGGATGCAAGGATGGAAAGTAGTCGGTTCGAGCATATTCTGAACAAGGCTGCTAGATTCGATTTCAGTCAGGAGTGTTTTTATCTGGGTGGCAGCTACAGGCTCAGTGCTTTCACCCGTTTGTGTAACCTCGCCTGGCAGAGCTTTGGGCAAAAGGCTGTTTATTTGGGCCAGTTTCATTTTAAGTTCTTCCCTCTCTTTGGCAAGAGCAGCCAGCTGTCGCTCCCTCTCTGTCGCTTTTTCTTGTAGAAGGCCTCTTTGGTTTTGGTACAAAGTTACATACTCACCTGTAAAAAATTAATGGGAATGTTTTATTAATGAAAAAATTATGGTGTATTTAAACTGTCATGTTGATTTTTCACATTCTTTTGATTAAAAGTTACTAATATCTAAAGATTTTTTTTACATAAATAATTACATACTTTCATTAGACAGATTTTAAAATTAATTTAATTTTGAGATTTTTCTGTCATATTTGTCATCAGTGATCATTTTGGTTGACATATCCTGTTTTCTTTCCTGTTAATTTAATATACCATGTACAATTTGGTTAATTAATAAAATAATAAGAAGTTAGAGACCTAAAGTATCAATGATTCCATGACTAGGAGTAAGACAGTTGTAATATGCTTCATAAATTCATTATGTGATGTATCCACAGTTTTAGTATAAAGTTTAATGGGCCAAAAATATTAAATTTAATATCAGCTCTTGCTTACATATGGTTTCTGTTTCACCCTGAAGCTGAGTTACGAGATGTTCCAGCTTCTGTTTTTCATCGGTCAAATTGGCAACATCGTCCATCGTCTTTTTCAATTTCTTTTCAAGCAGCTGCATAGCTTCCGGCGTTACTAAAATTAAATTGACTATTCAATATTTTTTCAATATGAGAATTATAAATATACAAAAATAAGTAGACCATGATCGTAATTCATAGGCAGAACTAAATCGTCCACATCGGTTTGGGATGTTTGGTCAGCATAAAAAGATACCGGTGTCTGTGTTACGGCACTGTCTGTAGTTAATTCCTGAAAGTTTTATGAAATTTGAAATAAATCAATTAAATCCTCCTATTTACTGTGTGCCTATTCACCTCATAATGTTTCAACTTTTCCATTTTATATTTAAGTTCTTTGACTATATATTCCGAATGCTGCAGCTTTTCTGTTAAATCAAGTTTCTCATTATTCTGGAAAAAAAGTGTTAAAGACATTAAAATATAATGACAATAATACAATTCCACCCCAATTTAATTATAAATTGATTCTGTAGGAAGAAAATAATCATTTCTTTGTTCATTGTCCAAAATAAGTAGAGAACTTGGATGCAAGTTTCGCCTCAGTTTTTAAACAATTTATATAACAATAAATTTCACAGTATAATTTACTTACAAGACGGACCACAGTTTCACTTATTTCTGCAGTTAGGTCTGAAACTTGCTGCTTCAGTTTAGTATTTTGTTCTATCGCTCTCGAGGCAGCGACCCTATCACTCTCCATTGCTTCTTCAAGCTTTTTGGCATCAGGGATTTCCAGCCTTTCAAGAGCATCTTCTGCTTCATTCAGCCTCTGTACAACTGATTGAAGCTCGCTTTTGACGTTCTCGCATTCAGATATTTTTTCCGACAGCTTTGTCTCAGTCAAGGCTAATTTTTCCTCACTTTCCTTCAACTTTTCGCTCAGATGAGTGTTCGTCGTCGTCAACGATGGGCCTGCCTGGCGTTCTCGTGTCATCTGCTTTTCAAGCTCCCCTAACTGCCTTACAAGCACTTCCTCCCTCTCGATTTTTTCGTTTTTCTCCCTCAGCAAAGTTTCCTTCTACAAATAAAATTCCGATGAAATATATTTCATTTTCAATTTGATTTTTTTATTCATTACCTCTTCATTGATTATTTGTATCTGGGTGTTTAACGAATTTATGTACTCTTGATACTGTAAATTTAATTCAGACTTTTCTCTCTGAATAGACTCAATTTCTCCTTTTAACCTTTCACACTCCAGACTCAAAGACTTGACCTGGTCAACGTCCTCTGCTGTTGGTACACTGCCTACACCAGTCTGAGAATTGTATATATTATTTATTAATTTTGTATATAATTGTATTTAATGGTTCCACAAACTAATTTACAAACTAGCCGAAAATCTTTAAACATTTATTTGTTATATAGTCAATTTGTTGGACAAAGGCACATTTTAAGTTCATAATTACCCCTAATGTTTAAAACTTTAGTCTAATTCAAAGGAGATGAATTTATTACAAATTTCAATACCGTAGGACTTTACCTACAATGAATATTTATTTATATTTTCATTATAGCTTTTTATGCGTGATTGATAATATTTATTTCAAATGTTATGAAAAGGCATGAAAATTATTGGGTAAGGTTTATTAGTTGCACATTTTTATTTTATATTTGGAATATTTCTCACCTGGGCCATTTTTACTTCAGCCATGGATAGCTGGTGTTCTTTCACATCAAGTGCTTTCTTAAGAGCTTCATTCTCTTCCTGACACTGTTCTATTCTATGGTTCAGTGCCCTTATATCATTTTGGGCATCTTCTACTTCTTTCCTGGAAAAACAATGTGCAAATATAAGAAAACAAAATTTTTTTACCACAAAACGTTTCTCACTTGTGTTCCTCAACTTTGTTCCTGGCTTCGGCAAGGTTCAGCTCGAGTTTTTTAAGTATTGAATTGTGCTGATGCCTGGCCTCAGCAGTCTCACTTAATTCTTGTTCAAGCTTTGCAACCTGCATTCTTAATGCTTTTGTCCTGACTGACAGCTCTTCACATTTACCTAAAATGTATTATTGGTTTAAAAAAGGTCATAAATTGATATTTCAGGAAAAAAATACTTTTATTTAATTTATTCTCATCTTGAACTGTTGCTAGTTCTTGTTGGAGGTTTGACTTCTGAGAAACAAGGATCTGAATAGTTTTAAGATTAATCTTAATTTCTTCCTCTAATGATTCCTCAGAAGATCCCTTAGCATGGTTTGTGCTTTCAGCAGATTTAACCTCTTTGTTTGACTCCCTTGCATTTATAACTTCCCATTCTAGCTGTTTTATTCGTTCAGTCTGAAATACATATTACTCTGTAGAAAAGTATAAAAATAGCACTTTTATAAGCCTTACAGCACTGCGGAGATGTTTTTCAGAATCTTCCCTCCTCGAAACTTCTACTGAAAGCTGAGCTTCCAAACTTCGGACTCTCCTGGTCGCTTCGTCTTCAGAGGGACTGCTTGTTGATGATGTCTCGGCCCTGTCATAATCTCTCAATGTTTCAATTGGGTTGTAAAAATTGTAGACAGGAACCGAATGATCAGTCCTTTCTACGTGTGATGGTGAACTGTCAGTCCCTTGCGGCGATGTAAATACAGTCCTTTGTGGATGTAACGGTGAGCTTTCAGTTCTTGGCGCCTGTAATAATTCAGTCCCTTCTGGATGCAGAGGAGTGAATTCCGTTCTTGGCTGCTGTAGTGGAAGGAATTCAGTCTTTTGTTGCTGCAAAGGATTTAAATCTGTCCTTTGTTGCTGGTATGGAGAGAATTCGGCCCTTTGTTGGTGGTATGGAGAGATTTCGGCCCTTTGTTGCTGGTATGGGGAGAATTCAGCCCTTTGTTGCTGGTATGGGGAGAATTCAGCCCTTTGTTTCTGAAAAGGATTGAAATCTTCCCTTTGTTGCTGTAAAGGATTAAAATCATTCCTTTGTTGCTCCAAAGGAGTGAAATCAGTCCTTTGCTGTTGTAAAGGTATGAATTCTGTCCTTTGTGGTTGCAGCGGTTGAGCCGGTGGTGGATTATGTTGAATATTATCAAAGAAATCAGCTGGAGAGTTATCATTCCTGAACATCAAAGCTGGTGATTGTTGCCCACTTTGGCTACTCACTGATGAAGGTGTTTTCTGCGTGTGGCCATTCTGCACCGGCTCGTTAGCTTGTCCTGGGGATACTGAGTAAGCATGAACACCATTATTCTGAGGTTTAGGAACCGGTAATGCATAAGCTTGTTCTTTATTTTTCTGTTGAAATTCTTTGAGCTGAAAAAAAAAACATTAATTTTATAATAATAGGGTATATAAAAAAGTATACTATACATAAGAAACAAAAATTATAGTATATAGCGGTAGCCGAGTGGTTAGCATGAGACTCTCACGCCGCGGTCGTGGGTTCGATTCCCACCGTCGCCTCTGGCCCTTTTTTTCACAATAACCCCCCCAAATTTGAATACAAATATGAATTGTCACATGGCTAATATGGATAGTTCATAACGGGGGAAAAAAAAAAAAAAAAGGCCATATGCAGTTAACACACAGGCACCTGCTCTCGGGGCCAAAGCCCGCGCAGGTGCCCCTTATGCAGAGAAAGGTTTCTCCATGTGTCCCACATACTGGAAACATGTCATGCCTTGGCTCCCTACAGGGAGCGTGTAGGCATGCCATCCAATCTGAAGATGGTACTCGAGCACTGCAGCGAGTTTCAGAGTCCCCTGTTCTGATTTTTAGGGGAAATTGGTTTTTTTTTATTGTATATAATATGTCTTATGTGTTGTGTGTCTATATGTTTTGTCTGAGTCCATGTATTTATTAGCGTGAATGACGAGGGGTGAGGGTGAAATATAACATCATCATCGCCCCTCAAACGTTGAGAGTGTATGAGTGTGTGTTCGGGGTCGATGGCGGAATCAATAACAACATGATGAACGAAATTGCAGAACTCAACTACTGTACAATTACATATTATTTGTAACGTAACATTCAAAACACCTGGTTTTCTATTTTTGTTTCAGTAGAAAAAAAATCATGTGAATTCCAAAAAGTATATTTCGTTGTGTTAAGAATAAAAAATAAATAAATAAAAACGTTGAGGGTTATTATAAGTTTAGTTAGTTACATATCAGTATCTGAATTTTTGAAAAGAACTAATGGGGGATTGATAAGAACGATTTTTTTTTTTTTACTTTTTTGGTGGAACTCATCATCGAAGATTGAATATCAATGAAGCCAAAGCCTTTAGTTCCAATTGTTTATTAGTTTCTTAGGGAAGCTTTTCATTTATGTAAGCATGTTCAACCTTATCCTAATCTTATAATTTACATCTAGTGCATTGAATGAAATAATTATATTTAATAAAAAGAAAATAATACAAACAAGCTAATATGAGGATGTACTACTATTTTTGATAATATATTTTTATTATATTACAGTTGACTCTTATTAATTCAAAAATTGATAATTCAAATTTCTTGATAATACTAATTCCTCAGCAAATCACTTCGGTAAATCGAAAAAATTCTGTGCATTTTGATACACTTGATCAGAGAAAATATTTTTCGTAACAGGGGGAGAAAAAGCTTGCTATTAATTGAAATGGAGCCGCTTCCCATCCTTATAATTTACACTTTTTTAAAATTATATTCCTCTAAATTTTCACGTATTGTTTACTTCATTACAGCCTAAAGGTTCTTCACATTTTCTCTAGTTGGTTATGTTCTGCAGTCAGTGTTTTGTCAATGTGTTCTCAACGCTGGTCACTCAGAAAATGATTTTTTTTTTTAAATAATGCATAACAATGTTCAATTGTACATTCAATTGTAGTTGATGTAGTTCCACATGTATTTTTTTATATATGTTCAATTTAAGTAATAACTTGAAAAAATGCATATCAACTCTTTAATATTTTTTTCCCCTCTTGATAATATGAATTATTTTTGTAATCCCTTGGTTTTCGAATTACCAAGAGTTGACTGTATTTCTTTTCATTAAATATAATTATTTCATACAATTCATTAGGTGAAATTAATAATGCAAGGATAAGGTTGAAGATGCTTACAATGTAAGTGAAGAGCTTCTCAAATAAACTATAAACAGTTGGAACTAAATGCTTCATTGGCGTTCAACCTTTGGTGTTATAAGTTTGGATTTTTTTACGATTTTGTTGGTCCATCAATACCGGTGTTCAGAATGGAATTTCAAATTTTCACCAACTAAGTCGCATCATCATTATATCTGATGAAATACTGTAACATTACAAACGGTAGAAAGGTTGGAGTGAACCCCGTCATGAGGGAGTTGGATGAAAGTGGCGCATGCAAATCCCTCACAAAAGACGGAGAAAAGTATAAGAAAGGAGGCAGCCATCACCTCCTAGGCTCTGCCAGTCCAGTGACCACCAGGGGCCTCTGGGGGTGTCCTTTCTCCTTCCTCCTCCCGCTCGGGTAGAGAAAAAAATAATAAACAAATTAATTAATTAAAAATAATAATAATAAAAAGTAAAAAAACCTGCTAAAAACTAATACCTAATAAAATATTAACGATAAAAAATTTAAAAAAATGATATGGCTATATTTCCAAAGGAAAAAGCCATTAAAAATAGAAATTTAAAAGAAAAAAAAAAAAAAAAAAAACGGGTTTATTTCGTTGGACAAAATAATCATGTGAACTGAAAGTGTATGTCCTTGTGATAAGAAAAAAGAAAAGTTGAGGGTTGTTAAGTTTGGTTTTTATCTGGGTTAATTGGTCCATCAACATGAAACGCAGCACCCATAATAAAATTTCAATACCTGGCCACACAATATCTTTATGTCTGATGAAATATTCTAACATTACAAAAACCTGGGTTTGTTGCATAGGACAAAATAATCATGTGAAACCCTGAAAGTGTGTATTGTGATAAGAATAAAATAAAATGGGGTGTCGATGGTCGCAACAGTTTAGGCATTGACATGGCGCTCGTCACCATAAGTTAAAGATTCAGGGTTTAAATTCAGCAGCCCTGCATACAAACCCAACATACTTACAAATGGGCTTTTTTTCAAAAACACTGAGGGTTCATATAACCTCATAGTTGAAATATCTTTGGAAAAAAAAAAGAGCATTGAGGGCTATAAGTTAGGATTTTATGTGGGTTAATTAGCTGATAAATAATAGTAGTCAATATAAATAGAGTCAATTTTCAGCAGCTGACCAACAAAAAAAAATCACGTATCATTTTGCCTGATGAAACTTCATTCTTAACTCCTGATTTACAGTACAAAACAAATGTCAATCCCAGAAAGCAACTTGTGACTTAATGATTTTTATGCAGTTTCACTTAGTTGATAAATACTTGTAATCAATACCCACATGAAATACAGTGCCCAGAGTCAAATTACCGCACTCAATCAACAAAAAATTGCATATCATTATGTCTGATGAAACTTCATTTCTAACTCCTGATTTAATTGATGACTTACTGATTTTTATACGAGTTTCACTGAGTTGATAAACAGTTGTAATCAATATCAACATGAAATCAAACATCGAGACTACAATGTCTTTATACAACCTGTCACAATTATCATAATGACTGATAAAACACTTCAAATACCTGATAATACTAATTAATATGAAAAACAGGTAACATCGGTTTTGTACACACTGTGTTGACAGTGACAGTTGTTTATAGTACGTAAATTATTTATTACTCACTAAAACAAATGAAAATTGATTTAAAAGATCACGTTTTCCTTTAAGGATGAAACGCAAAGAGCTTGGGAAATTCAATGATAAGTGTAAAGAAAAATGAGACAACGTAATAACAAATGTACGTTTAATTGTGTGAAACCTTATTGACAACTGGGACAACTCTGAATGGATCGAGTTTTGATAAATTGATATCAATGGGCCGGATTTTATTAAATTTGTGCCCTTTTTTCGCATTTTTATTATTTTTATTTACCATTCGTTTGGCTGCGGCCAATTTCTCGGCTTTGGACGTCTCTGCCATGCTGGAACTTCCCCATCCGTCAACGATTAAAACATAAGTGATCCGCCTTGCACAGCTGATCGCTCACAGACGGCTTGACAAGAGAAAAACCTCCCTCGACTAATTTTCTTATTTTAAAGAAAAATTTTGGCGTATCTTCTTTTAAGAAAATATTATTTCTTTGTAAATTCCTTTCAAGCCAATTTCAAACTGTCAGTATTAAATATCTGCTACGGCGGTGATACTGTCAGATCGTAAAGGCTTTAGAACTGGAACCGAGACGAAAAATCCTTGAGGTTATCAAAATCAGAACGGAGTTACCATTTTACCAGTGGAAGTTTACTATTTATGATATGAATTTATCTTCCTTGTCTGACCATGGCATTGTTTTGATTTTAAGACAATCAACGATCCATTCGGATCTCAAATCTATTTCACTTTGATTTCAAAACCATTCGGATAAATGACAGGATATGTGTCATGGCTGTTAAAAGGACGACCAATTCTGTGAGTATTTTTTTGCTGTGCTTTTCAAAATTCCTATCGCTTAACAGCACGTTTTCCTCTTTCACATCACAGCCTGGGGTCCTCTTCACGAAAAGAAAAGACTGCTTTTCTGCCTTGAACGATTTTATATTAAAAGAACAAGCGACGTTATAAAAGCGGTAAAGTTCCGAATTTTCTGCCCGTGTGAATCCCGCGAAAAGGTAGAATTTAACGTCTCGACCTCCGTTCTAGTTAAGTTTCATCGCCAAATTTCCGTTTGTCATTTTCTGACAGAAACAGGAAAAGTTTGTTCGTAAAAAGAACAAACGTTCCATTGGAAATGTCATGCTCATCAGAGCGGCGAGGGCGTTAATTATGCCCACTGGAATGGGTTATTAACCGGCGAAAATGTAGGAAACACGTCAGATAATCCTTTTTACACCAACAATATTCTGTTTATTTGGTCAGTCTATTTTTATACCAACAATATTCTGTTTATTTGGTCAGTCTATTTTTACACCAACAATATTCTGTTTATTTGGTCAGTCTATTTGCAGAATTGAATCATCGAAATTTGTGATATGATTGATAAGACAAACAACCCAAATGGCATTTCTTTCAGAAAGTCCTATGATTATTTCTTTTTTTTAATGGTCAAATACAAAGAAAAATATATACACTGTCAGGCAAAAGATTCCACCAAATTATTATTTTTTTTTTTTTCATTTTTCTGATAAAAGAAAACTGCCCTTAATTTGTCTCATTCATTTTACCAATAAATATTTGTTTATACTATGTTTTAAATTTGGAATGTCAATTAGAGGAATCACTTAATCCTTAATCCATACAGGGATAAGGGATTTTTTCAATATTTGCTTTTTACGGAATTTAAAGTGTTTATTCTGTCTCATTTGAATTCTGAAACAATAAACTGTTTATTTTCATCTTTGTTTTCTTAATTTCAATTTTTAAAAGTAAAAATGACACTTAGTGCTGAGGATGTTGCACGTGGTGTGGTACTTACTGATGATGGACGTTCCATCAGGGATGCGGCTATTGCCATTATAGTTCCCTATGAAATACTGCAGACGCCATTAGACATATTTGAGAAGGGTCCTACCAAAGAAGGCCCGGTTCTGCATGCCCTAGAGTTACCACAAAACCACCCTTATTGTCCTGCCACCGACATCATAAAAGGGTCAAATCTGTTTCCAAGCTATGTCAGTTTTAAAACTTTTCAACCTAAAGCTATCGCCTAGACTTTTGAACCAACTCTGTTGTTGACAGACCTGGAGAGTCAAGATGTTGCAGCGAAGTATTCCACCTAATGTCCATTATCTTCTTAATTTTTTCTATGTGCACCTGGGTGTTATTTTAATGGAACAACTCGCCTTTTCAATTGCCTGTATCAAATTTTTAAAGTTTTGAATGACACCAATCCTGATAGTAGTTCATAGGTCTCACTTGTGTTGGTTTGATCTGGAGGTAAAAACGCATACAGTATTCTTTGACAGTCTAAAAAGTAGTCCTTTGGAGCCTTCTTGGAGGTCAAGCTTGTAGAAAAAATGTAATGAGTTTTCCACTATAAGAAGTTCGTTGTGTCATTATTGAACTCTGTTATTGTCATTAACTTTGAGGGACTATAAAGGCTGTTGTTAGGGTGTCTGATTCTCATTTCTGCCATGATAGTGGTTCTGGGTTTGAATCTGCTTGCCCTTACTATTTTTTTAGAATAGTTTGAATAAAAGTATTGAAAAATATACATATATACTATACTTAATGTAGTTAGATGTCAAGTGTAACAGGTTTTTATTACTTAAGTAACTTTATAACATTGCTGGGAGCATGAATAGAGAAAAAAATAAGGACAAAAATCTCATCAAAGCAAAAACTTACCAAAATGGGCCGAATCAAGCTTTTTTACTCAATGGCTCAATTATTTCAGGGTCAAATTTTAAAGGCTCGAAGACGCTTTTCAATAAAATCCATTGTGTTGGTAGAAGGCGATGGAATGAAAAACTGACTTGAAAATCATTTGTTAATAAATTCAGTGTTTTTGTTAAAATGGTCATTTTTTACATTAATGTGATTAATACATTAGTTTAGTTAATTAATTTATAACTGTTATAATATTTATAGCCAGGAAAAGCTTTATAAAACATATTTATATGCATATAACACAGAGTATTGCAAAGTTTTTAAAGATTTTTATGCTTCAAAATTCAAACATTATCATTAACCCCATTCATTCAATATTTAAAGTGCAAAATGTACAATTGTTAGCAATGATACCATGAGCAATTATTTTATAACATCACTCATTTAAAACCACTGTCGTAATAACTAGTTTTCTTAAAATGTGCCAACAGCCATCATCAGATGTTGCATATTCATGCGTTATCACTTTGTAGTTCTGCCAAAAGTTTTTGATAAGAATCCAATAGAATTAATTGGCAGTCCATATGAGGAATGCCATGCTATGTGAAACCATAGTGACCTGCAGACATACAGTGTAATTGAACTGATAGCTAGACCCTTGTTAAGAAATAGAAGTTTAAAAAAATAACTATAACAACTTGCACAAAACTCACTCACATCCTCACTTATTTATAACCCACTCACTCTATTCGCTCACAAAACTCTTTGCTCAATTTGCATGCTCATTTATGTACTCAATGCTCCTTTTCACTCAATTTGCTCTCTTTACTTGTTCGCTCGATTCACTTACTCACTTATTTAACTCATTCTCTCACTTCAAATTCAAACAATCGATATTTAATTACTCCACTCATTCACCCTCAAGTACAAATCCATTAATTTTCAATAATTGCTCAACAATTTTACATTTGTTTTAAAATGTGTATGTTTAGTTTCAAATAAAGGTTATTATATTTCTTTGACTCGTATAGTCGATGGGACATTACAAAATTAAAATAAACAAATAAAAGACAGATATTTTAAAAAAAAGTGATTAAACTCCTTAATACTGTTAGAGGTACTGTTAATATATTTTGTTTAAAAATAAATAAATAAAATTAAAATAAATAAATAAATTTAAAAATGTAATTATTTAAAATATTTATGTAGTACAGTATTTACAAATTGATATTTGAAATTTTTAGTCTTTTCCTTCTAATATCAACATTATCTGCTTAGGCTATTTTTGTATGTGTTGATTATAATATTTTAAATAAATAAAAGATAATGGTAAAAGGAAATGTGAGGGTGTCATCACTCAAGATAAGTTGGACTCTAACATTACAGTAACATTTTAAGAAAAAGTAAAGATTACAGAAGTTTGTGCATTAACAATTTAAATGGCAGTCTATCATAAATTGTTTAGTTCATTCCCAAATTGAATGGTGATCAATTTTTAAATCAATTTTGCCATCTGTTTGATTAGTTAAAGTGCTTTTAATATCTCTGCTTTTATAATCAAGTTGGAATTTAATTGTCGTTTTCAAGTCTTTCCAGAAAAAAATTTGTTGCTGAGTACTAGCAATCTAAAAACCTATTCAACACAGATTCATATTAAACTATAGCCAACATAAACATACTATTTATTCTGATAATGTTTTAAAAAAATGGGACAAATGCAGAAAAAGCTTCAGAATACTTTGTACGTACATTGGAAATTGTGAATTTTTTGTCTTTTTCTCTTTCCCTTTTATATATATACATTGTACATAATATTTTCAAAATGATTGAGTTATCTTTTCTGTTGCTTAGAATAGCTAATTGCTTTTCATTTACGAATGCTGAAAGGTGTTAGTTAATCTTGAGCCAAACTGTCACTAGCTTCTTAAGCTTGATTCCTTCTGAATAAATAGGCTTGCCAAATATTCTAGTCTCATAACTGATAACCGTTTTTTTAGGGCTTTGTATGTTAATTCTACAGAGTGCATGAAAGTGAGTCATTAGTTCGAATACCCCGTTTAAAGATGGATGGCTATTTTGTGAGAGGAAAATGCGAATTTATCCCGATGGAAATCATTGTAATCCCCTTAAGTGTTTCTTTTATTTATTTATTTTATTTTAAAAGTTTATTCTCGTCTTGGTGCTGATTTATGATCGTCCCGTGTATTTTTTTTCAGTTGCCGGATAAACCAGACAAAGAAGCTCCTGAGCCAAAAATTGAGAGGGTCGGCTCAATTAGGAAATTTCTCAGTTCTCTAGTCGGGGGCGACTCCCTTATAAGCCTTTTCTCAAAAATGATCGACAAAAAGACCCAGCCCAAAGGAAGAATCTCAGAAAGATACTCACATTTTATGCGCGAGTATCCTGTAATAACAGAATTGTTAGTGTTTAATTTTTAAACAAGTTTTCCCCATTTTATTATTGTTATTAAACCATATATTAATATTTAATTTTAGTAATATAATGTGTAAAAATCTACTACCTGGTGTTTATGTCATACCATCTGCCAATTCTGGATTTGGTGAGTGTGTAAAATTTTATTGCTTGAAAAAGTAAGTAATATAAATTTTAAAATGTGGTTTTATTTACATGTTTCAGTTTGGTTTGGTGTAGTGTTCGTTCGAAATGGCATATATAAAGGAGGAATATTTAAATTTAATGTGAGAATTCCTGAGAATTATCCAGATACTTTTTCACCAGTTAGTTTAATTTTTAAATAAAACTATAATAAACTTTGTTGAAAAACTTAATTAATTAATTTATTTTAGACTGTAGATTTTGATACGAGGGTGTTCCATCCAAGTGTCGACGAGGAAACCCAAGAGCTGAACATTCGGCTCATCTTTCCAGAATGGTCTCGCCAGGCGAACCACATATGGCAAATCCTCGAATACACTCGGTCGATTTTCTACGAAATTAACACCCTTTGCCCTTTTAACTACAAAGCAGCAAAAATGTAATGAAAACCCTCATTCAAGTGTATGTACGTTTTACTGGTACTGTTTCTTTTTATAGGTACGAAAACGATTACGAACAATATGTCAAGTTGGCAGAAGAGTGTGTAGAAGAGAGCAAAAGGACAGCTTTTGAAATCTCCAACCCGGACGACCCCCATTCCTTCTGTTTCTCAGAGTTCGATGAAAGTGTTCATAGGCCCATTTTGAACCAACTCAGAGATCCAAAACAAGTAATAGCCATTTCCCTAACATATAACTGCTGATGATAAAACTTTTTAAAAATAATTTTAAAAATTATAGTGTTGTGAGAAAATTTATTTTTTATGGAATCAAAACTTTGACTTAATTTTTTTCAGTTAATCTGAATACTTTTTGATCAAACTAAAGTGTTTTCTAAAAGTTGTTTATAATTTAATTGCTGTGTAATTACAGTATAATTGATTAATATTTATTTTGTTTTAGGTTTGGAGGGAAGAATCTCCTTCAATAAGCCACAGGGAGAACGGTACTTCTAAACCTTACTTACAGTTACCTTCGTCCTGACACATATCGCTATCAAAATTCTTCGAGTCAAAAGTGCGTATGATCGTTAAATATTTGATCTGAAGCTAAAGGCTTTGCTCCTGCCCTTTGAAAATTTGTGTCACGTCGAGGCACACTTCTGTTAAATGCAATTAGCTTTAATCCTTCCTGTAGCCTTACAAGAAATGTCCATGCCTTATACAGTGAGAGTAAAGAAAACAGTTTTTCCTGTCACATCAGTCAATGATATGGAGATATCATAGCCATTTTTCCTTCTTCATGAAATAAGCGATGTTTTGCTTTCTTTTCGTCTTAGTATGGCGCAAAGTTTAAAATGTTGCCTATTTTTTAATTCAACTAATTCTTTCTTATTGATATTTCCTTATTAACCAAAAAGTTTTCTTTGTGCTTTTCTTTTGTGCAATCTTTGTAGTGCCGTCCTGTAGAATTTTGGTTTGAAAAAGAAATGTAATTATATAGTTACCGTGCAGTATTGAGAGTATAAATTTAAATTTGTACTTTATTTGTTTGTATATGTATTTGTTGTGTTTATACGTTTACCATAGTACTCATGGGACTGTATAGTTTTTGTCTTAAATACTCAATTGTGTCTTGTATACTAACATTATCATTTTAGCAGTTGTCCTTAGTCATAGCATACTTGGTACGTCTGATTTCAAAGTGAGGGAACTTTATGTTTACTTGATAAATTGTCTGATCTATTTATAATATGGCTGCACCAGCTAAACACTTTTTTTTCTTATTTTGAAATTTACAATAGTGAAAGAATAATGAATAAACTTGTGAATTGACTAATAATAATATAAGGTTTTTGAAAACCTATTTGAATGTGGAATATTCTCTGATGAACAATGATCAATCCATTGTTCATTTTTTCTTTCTTATCAAGCCCTACAGTTAAAACAAAAACCTTGAATTAAAATGAAATACGAAATATCTTTAAAAATAGTTTAGATATTGATTATAGAAGCATGCAAATTTTTACAATATGACATTCTAACTGAGTGCCAAAAATTCATATTGCTCGAAAAATAAATAAAACCTGATGAATTAATCATAATCAATTTGAATATATTTTTGGGGAAGTTTATAGTAAATGAAATATGAAACATTTCCTTCTGTAAATTGCCTGTAGTCAAATTATTTAAAAGGTTTTTATTGCATGTAAAGCGACAACAATTTTTTTTTTAAATGTCATCTTTATATTTTTTGTGAAAATTGACAAAAAAATTTATTTCTTTCATTTGGCAAAAACAGACTTTCATATTTTACCCCATGTTTGTACAAATATTGAGAGATTTATGCTTTTTGTTTTATAAACTTTTTATATAAATAATATCGTAAAACAACGAAGGAAAATCACTTCAGGTTATTCCGTCCAAAATAGACCAAATTATTGTTAAAATTTATAATACTCTCTTATTATGAATTTTTTATGACGTATTGTCAAATCATCATAGTTTCGTTCTACATGTGCAATTTCAAATGTACAAATTAAAATCCCTATATATTTTTACCATGTTTTCCCATAGAGAAAAAAATAAGCCTGAAAAATCTAAGGCTTAATGAAAAACTTAATTATTATTATTTTTTAAATCATAAATTATTAGTCACTAATGTGTTCTTACAGTAGTACAATTGATTAAGGTACAATTTAATTTGAATTATAAATTAATACACAATTAACATACTACGTACAATGGAGGTATTTTTTTCTTACTAACATTTTTTATGGCTGTTGGTTGTGTAAGTTAATTTCTTCTTTTTTTAAATTAAATTGAGCGTAAGCGCTCAGAGGTTTTGTTTTCCTTTAAAAATATTGCTCAATTTTAACGATACTATCTCACTCATAATTAACTGCCAAAATTAAGTAATTTTCTTTGATTTATCGTAGTTATTTCTTTAAATTACTCTCATGTTATTGTTTGTTGTGATAGAATGGAGTGTTAAATACTTATTGTACAGTTTATATAATATAGAATTGAAAGTTTGTTTTAATTTTGTGTTGTAAAATGTAAAAAAGAAAAATCATTGAATTGTTTATATATGTGTAGAAAAATATTTAAAAAAAGAAGAACATAAAATGAGAAATAAATTAAAAATGTACATATTGTAACCATATCATGTTATTTAAAAATTGTTAAATTTGTTTTATTTTTAAATTATGTTGATCTTGCCAATTTAATGGAATTGTAGCTCCAGAAAGTTTGAATTTTGAAAAACTAATGTAATGGAATTAATAAAGACAAATTGGAGAGTTGTATAAAGATTTTTATATGTACCAATTACCATAGGTTTAAAAAAAATAAAATAATTATAATAATTTGCAACTGACCACTGAGTGAATTCATAGCAAAAATCTTTTGATTATATTACAATTAATTAAGGTTTTTAGTTGAGATGAAAAAAAGTTAATGGCACGAGAGGGAAAAAAAGCTCTCTGTCGCCATTTCAATTGTCGTCGAGAATTCAGACCGATTACACGACATTTGAAAAATGGCAAAAGGAGGGAAAACATAAGGTGGGGTTGAGATGGGGAGTTGATGTCCGAGTGGATCGAGGTCACGATAGCTCAGGTGGTAGAGCAGCGGCGTATCTAGCCGAAGGTTGTGGGTTCGAATCCCTCTCGTGCCATTAACTTTTTTTCATCTCAACTAAAAACCTTAATTAATTGTAATGTATTAATTGGTCAAGCGGACCACGAAATTAGTGAACTTTTGATTATAAATAGATCATAATTACAAATTATAATAATTTGATCATAATAACATATTATTTTATAAAAGGTAAGAGATATATATAATGTCATGCTAACAGTCATGCTATAGCAGAGAGGAATTTTCACCATCCAACTCCAACAGAATTTTTTTTAAACAAGACAAAAAAATCGAACACTTGTACTTATTACATAATAACTAGATATAAAGATTAATAGTTAATTTAAAAATAATACATAACATTAATAACTTGTTTACCTTCATAGATTGTTTCTAATCTTTTTACACTATTCAGATTAAGAATCAAGAAAAATAGTTCAATTTCATCCTTTCCAGAGTGAACTTGAGTGTGTTAATTGGCTTTTTAAATTATTTTTTTTGATGAAACAATAAATTTGTATTAAAAAAAAAACTTAAAAGCATAGAGAAGATCCCAGCCAAGCAGATGCTTTGGCCAATGATAGATGTAGTATCCCATGGCCTATAACGTACTAAACTGACTACATATTGACAAATTATTTAAAAAAATATTAGTGGACCTTTCTCTTCCGAAGGATAGTGGCACATGATTAAAAAAAGAATACTAGTCAATATTATTGAGAGAATAAATTTGGTTAAGATAAAAAAAGAAATGGTTCTGCGGTGTTATGTTAATGTATGCTTGTTAATCCCTGGCGGATTCCTTGATGTTTTTTGCTTAAACCATGATGTACTGATGTATTGCCTTTATAAGCCAAGTCCTGGGTGTGCTTAATTCATGATAGTCTACAACAGTTTAGGGCCACCAGAAATCTCAACCGAAGAATGGGCAGGACTGTTTGCTCCTGGAATCAACTGATAAGTACACCAGTATCTTCCAGGCTGAAGTCCATGCAATTAAGAGATGTACTCAACCGAACAAAGGGTATGAAAATGAGATCATAGTTATCACGTCCCTTATTATGGGTACCCGGACACCAAAATATAGAATGAAATGATAACTCTTCAGGATGCTGTAAAGTGACAACACAAATCAGCCCCAAAGTCAGATGTCATTTAGCATATCAAAAGTAAAGTATATTAAAAATGGGGAAGAAATATGGGCAAAGATAGAATTAAAACAGAGAGATCAAAACCATGGTTTTCTTCTTGTTGGAAAAAAAAGGACTGAAGAAATGGTAATGACACGTGGACACTTAATGATGAGACTGCATTGTCCAAAATGTGAAACCTATGAGGTACAGTTAATGGCGAAGCATATTTTAACTGGCTGAGATTGCTATAAAGCATGAGGAAACAATGCTCATTTTCAAGTAATTTAGCCGAGAAATAATGCAGGGAATATACAGAAATTTAAAAAAAAATTACAATTACAAGACACAAGGTAGAGTCCTGACCCGGTCGAGGCACCTCTCTGGGTTAATGGGACCCTAGATTCACTAGGCATGCAGATGATGCCCAGGGCACGCACATGCGATACACTTGATTACTATGTGTACACTAGCTAAAAAAAATTCATTACTGCAATAGAATCTGCTGCTGTGTCTTGGTAGTCGCTCTTTGCCTCGAGCATAAAATTTTGTAGAAAGGAAAAATGTTTCAGATGTAAGACAAATCTATCACATACGCACAGGAAAAGTGAAACAAGAAAAATTCTCAAAACAGGCTTATTTAGTTTTTTTAAGTATTCAGGGTGTGATGCTGCAGGTAAAACGACACAACTGTAGGTGTTTACATCTTTGGCTGGAAAACTTTGTAAAATAATAAACCTCGAGATAATTAAAATTCAACTCTATCATCTATTAATTTTTGATTATATTGTTATAGCATTTTATAGTGTACATAATTATATGTGCATAGACATTAAAGGCACAATTTAAGAAAAAGTGTACATTTGGGAATACTTATGTAGGAATAATAACTTTATTAATATACTATACTCTTTTTTTAACTAAAAAAAATCAATAGACCATAATATTACCTTTTTCTTTTAGCCATTATGTAACAATTATCCTTACGATCAAGCTGAAGATTGTATTTGAACTTTTGAAGTGCAAGGTCAACATCGATAGTTGTCGATAATCGTTGCATGCTGTAAGTTAACACTGAAGTTACCTTACCTTGTGTACCTGACTGCAACCTACGTCCTACGGTCGACGGCATGACCCACGACGATAACCCACGCAACCACTACATGAAAGACGACGAGGTGAACTATCTGGAAGAGTTCGACGACGAGGATCCGGGCGAGCTTGTTGCAGTGCTGGATAGCGATGGCAACATCATCCAGGAAACGATCTCCGACGGGGACGAGGCCGACAGTGATTGCATGGACGACACTGACTTCTACACGCCCGAAAGAGATGACTCGGTCGTCAAGTTCCACGGACACCAAGGTATCAGAAACCTGTCGACTCGCTTAATAATAATTCCTAGTATCTAAAGTTACTTTGGGTGTAATTTGGTTCAGTTATTGGGGATTAACGACAGATAACCTTTGGGTGTTTGATTTTTTGGAGGGGATGATGAACATTTTCATATACCTATTGTCGTTTTGGTCTATCTGTTGCATATCAAGTGCTGGAATCAGATTGGTGCCTCACCCTGCTTTTCCCAGACACATCACAGAATTTTTTTTTTACAACGCTTGACAGTTGATAAAATCCCATATCTGTGACAGGAGACTGCAAACAATGAAACTAAACAAGGTTAAAAGGTTTTTCAAAAGGTCATTCTAAGGCAGTGTAGTTCCCGAGCCCTTCTGGGGGCCGCCCGACATAGGAATACACAATCAATGAGCACCACAAACAGAAGGGTACAAATTACACGAGGCAGCAAAGAACTCACTCATACTATAATATAAACTGATCAAATTTTAATTAAATTAACCGATATATTGTTGTTATTTGGATAAAACAAAATAGAAAATACTTAATTCACTACTTTCGTGGTCCGCTTGGCCAATTAATACATGACAATTAATTAAGGTTTTTAGTTGAGATGAAAAAAAGTTAATGGCATGAGAGGGATTCGAACCCACGACCTTCGGCTAGATACGCCGCTGCTCTACCACCTGAGCTATCGTGACCTCGATCTACTCGAATCCAAACCAATTACACGACATTTGAAAAATGGCAAAAGGAGCTCAGGTGGTAGAGCAGCGGCGTATCTAGCTGAAGGTCGTGGCTTCGAATCCCTCTCGTGCCATTAACTTTTTTTCATCTCAACTAAAAACCTTAATTAATTGTCATAGAAAATACTAACAAAAAAAAGAAAAGGAAAGAAAACGTCTAATTTTTAATAATGGATTTACTAAGAATAGTAAACATGAAGATTACTCATTTCATAAACAAACACCTTTTCTCGTCTTTTCTTCATTCTCTTTAATCATGGAAAGACTCATCTTGAAGCAGAATCGCAATACTATTGTGAGAGTGAGTCATCAAGGGCACTGACAAGTGGATATCACAGAGGAAGTTGGTGTTTCTCAGAGCATGGTGGCTTTAGCCCGATTTCAAGAGACTAGAAGTGCCAATAGAAGGTCTGGCAGTGGATCTCAGTGCATTACGATGTTAAGGGAGAACAGAAATATTGTCAGTGCTGCAAGATGGAACCATTTCTATAGTGCCCGCTAGATCCTAAATTAATTACAAGATGTTTTGTCACATCGTATGCCCCTCTAAGATGACCTGCAGCAACTCAAGAGAATATGGCGCAGCGAGCGCCTAGAAGAGAATACCAATTGGCATGCTGTAATGTTTACTGATGAGTAGCGTTTCTGTCTGTATAGTGAAAGCAGGCGCCGAATTGTCTACTTAGACCAGGGGAGGCCAATGCAATGCCCCAGTTTGTGCTCCCTTCACTGCAGTTTGGAGGAGGTGGTGTAATGGTCTGGGCTGGGATTTTCACTGGAGAATGAACTGGACTACCTGTTGTTGAAGGCAACCTCACAGCAGTCCATTATATCCAAGAAATTATCGAGGAATACATCCCTTAAACCAGTGATCTCATTGGTAGGGATTTACAATTTCTGGATGACAGTGCTAGACCTCAAAGGCAAATGGTTTATCAGTGTTTAGAAAACATGGGAATTTCCCATCTGCCCCTTCCCCTTTTTTTCCAGACCTCAATTCCATGGGATGTATTGCAGAGAAGGCTTTTTTTTTTTTTATTACCATTGAATTTGTAATGACAAATTGTAAATTGTCCTTTGTTTAGATGTTTTTGCTTGTGCACTAAGCCCTGATGGAGTTTACGCTGGTACTGGAGGACAGGATGAGTGTTTCTTACTTTGGAATACTCATTCTGGAATAATGTTGTTCAAATCAGCCTGCTTCAAAGATTCCGTGACGATGATCGAATTTAGTAAAGATGGCAAGTATATCGCAGCAGGGGATATGGCAGGGATAGTTGTTGTTTGGAAAATAGTCGGAGGCAATGTTAATGAAGTATACTCATTGACGGTAGACGACGGTTTGAAGGTGAGTCACATCATACTGATAGGCACTTTCTAGAAATGTACAGTTTCACAATTCATAGTGGCTACAATGGCATCCACAAAGTAATATCTTACTCGTGGGAAGTCCAACTATTTGGATGATTCAAATACCTACCTGTCAAGTCAAAGTGTTTCCGGGAGTAGAGCCCAGTACGGACATTGGACGATTTATGCCTGATGGTAAGACTGTTTCTTGTATCGACTATTGAAAACTATACTAAAATTTATTATTGTACAGGGAAAAGAGCAGCGATAGGTTATGATGACGGGAGTACAAAAATTTTAGATCTTGCTTCAGGCACCATTTCCTGTAAATTTCCATCTACGTCAACTAACTTGGATTCAATTATTTCAATGGCTGTTCATCCTGATAACGACATCATTGCTGTCGGGTCTGTCAGCTCAAAGGTCGCCATATTCAAAACTCAGCGTCCCAAGGTATCCTTTAATTTATGACAAATATTTTGAAAAATAAATTTATTCTTGTAAATATCGGCTTCTTTTTTAATCTTTTTTTTTTTTTTTTTCATTGACAGATTTAATTAAAAACTAAATATTACTTAAAACTGAAATAATTAGACTAAACTGTAAATGCTGACTACTTACAACTTTTTTCAGTTTAATTTTATTATCTTTCTTTAAATTGTTATATTGTTTAATTTATTTAATTGATATTTAATTTATTGCTTTTATCGTATTTTAAGCTTCTTGGGACCTTGGACTGTATTGAGACAGGAGTTGTTGAAGGTGTACAGGAAATGCTCAGTACTAGCGTCGAGTCGCTTCAGTTCGGTTCTAGTGCAAGTTCGCCTCTTAAACTCCTTGTCGCTGGCACTGATAATGCCTTGCACATTGTTGACTACTTAAAACTTGTATGTTTAAAAAAATAAAAATAAAAAATAACTAAGCTTGTAACTTAATATGATCATTGTTTAGAATGTGAGAAATACAATTAAAGTTGCTGAAGGCCTTACGAGGTTTGTCTGGCCAGAAGGATCGGATTATATCTTCGTAGGTACAAAAAAAGGCCCAATTAATGTCTACAATCCATTTACGAACGAACAGATGATGTCATTTTTAGGCCATTCGTCAACAATTTTTGATATCAATTATTCCAAGTGCGTATTGAATTCAAGGGGAAAAATGTCTTTTTCTTTGTCACTAATTTTTTTTGCATTATTTTTAAGGATGGGCAAAAAACTCATCACCGGTGGAGAAGATGTTTATGTAAGGATATTCAATATGGTAGAAGTAAGGCCACTCGAATCAGCCAGTTGAGAGTGTCGGAAATTTTAATTTGAAGAGGATTATTTATTTTGTAAATAATTATATTGAAACCCTCTTTTGAAGAACCCTGTTTAAAATTAAATTATTTTTGATAAAAATTATAACACTTGTTTTCATTAATCAATGAATAAAATTAATCCTATTACTTGTTTACATTTTTTTCTGAATAACCTAATGTTTTGTTTCTTTTCTCCAATGATTATCTTTAATCCTATTCCTAGTTTTCATGTTTCTGTTCTCTAATGAATAACCTTAATCCCATTCCTAGTTTTTGTGTTTGTTCTTCAATGAATAACCTTAATCTTATTAATGGTTTTTGTTTTCTGTTCTTCAAGAATAACCTTAAACCTATTTCTAGGATGTGTTTCTGTTCTCTAATGAATAACCTTCAACTTATCCTGAGGTTGTTTCTGCTCTCCAATGAATAACCTTAAACCTATTCCTAGGTTGTTTCTGTTCTCTAATGAATAACCTTAAACCTATTCCTAGGTTGTGTTTCTGTTCTCCAATGAATAACCTTAAACCTATTCCTAGTTTTCATGTTTTGTTCTCCAGTGAACTATCATAATCCTATTTCTAGTTTTCATGTTTCTGTTCTTCAATGAATAAACTTAATCTTATTCCTGGTTTTCATGATCATATTCTCCATATCACTTCTTGTTTCTAGTCTTCAATGAATTAACTCAATCTTATTGTCTTCATATTTCTGTTCTCCAATGAATAATCTAAATCCTTTTACTTATTGATAAATGGCTTCTGAAAAAAACCTTTCCTTATCAAGTTTTTTTAGAACATGATAAGTTTGAGTCTATTTGTTTTTAAAAAGTTTTGGTTTTTATAAAAAAAATTACATGCGGTTTTTTTTAAACAAAAACCATAAATTTTAATCTAATTGTTTGCATTTTTGTTCTTCATGGAATAACCTTAATCCTATTATATTCCAGGCATGAAAAATTCAGGAAAATAGAAAATTTACCAAATGTTAACACCACTTAGAAAACAATTTTTCTGTAATAATAATAATAAAATATACAAAAATAAAACTACAAAAGCTTTTCTCCTCATCTTCAGTTTAAAAAAATATATATGTATATACATGAAATATATAAATACAAATTTATTGAGGGCAAACTTGACAATATTTCGCTATAAAAGGCCAGACCCTTTTGTCGATTCGTCCTTCCTCCGGCTCATCCTCTTCCTCGGTGCTCGAATTGATATCACTTGACGATATCGAATTCACCCAGTCCGATGATGTATCAGAGTCAGCATCTTCTGAATCGCTGCTCTCCTCCTCCTCATCTTCATCGTCCGAGTCTTTTTCAACTTCGACAAACGGATAGTTCTGCAAGGGGAGTTAGCACAAATAAGTCAAGATTTGAGAAAGAACGAAGAAAGTCTCACCCTTGGATTCTTCTTGAACAGGCCGCAGTCAATCAAATCAAGTAGTTCCAAGTGCCTCAAATTATTCAGGGCGCTCTTTGTGTTCTTGTTCATTGGATTTTCTGACAGGTAGCAATATTTAAGGGCCTGAAATATGCATAATTTAAATTACTGTTTTATCATTTCATCATTTTTTTTGTACAAAGAAAAAAGTCATCATAAATATCAATTAACTAATCTTTTTATGTGAGGTCTTGGTTGAGAAGAAAAAGTTATAGTCATGAACGGGAATCGAATCTACAATCTTCAGCTCAATACACCGCTGCTCTTACCACTTGTGCTATCGTGACTTCGATCCACTTTGACATCAATTCCCCATTTCAACCTACAACCTTTTGAATTTTCCTTCTTTTTGCCATTTTTCAAGATGGGGAGTTGGTGTCCGAGTGGATCAGTCACAATATCTCAAGTGGTTAGAGCAGCGGCGTATTTAGCTGAAGGTCGTGGGTTTGAATCCTACTCGTGACACTAACTTTTTCATCACAATCACGACCTTAGATAAAACGAATAATTAAAATTAAGTGGAATGATTAAAACGGTCAATTAGCCTACTAAACATAAATGAGTGCATTATAAAGATGAAGATATAATTAGTGAAGGTACATTTTTTATTACATAGACAAAAGGTATGTCCTATGAAATTCTAAATACACCATGACAAAATATAGTATATATTTTCTGAAGTTAGCTGTAAAAAAAATCTGAGACTGTTCATTGAGTGTCGTGGATGAGAGGTCAGAACTTGTAAATTCACTATCCTTAAAAAATTATAAAATAAATAAATGTTAATACTGTAAATAAATGTTAGATTTGTTATCACTGTGAATTATTAATAATAATATAGTATTAATAAAAGACAAAAAATAAAATAAATAATAAAAAATAAAAGTAAACACAACGTTAATAGCTTGTTGTTGGTGTTGTTTACCTTTGTAAAGAATTACTAATTATTTAACACTTTTTAGATTAAAAATAAAAAAATTAGTTAAATTTCATCCTTTCCAGAGCCAATTTGTTAATTTATTAATTATTTTTTTATGAAACAAGAAATTTGAGGGAATAGGGGACCGCGGAAGCCGAGTGGTTAGTGTGATACTCTCGGTTCATAGACCCCACGGTCGTGGGTTCGATTACCACCGTCGCCTCTGGCCCTTTTTTGCATGATAACCCCCGCCCCACCAAATTTGAACACATATATAAGAATTCGTCACCATGGTTAATATGCATAGATCTTAAGGCCAAAAAAAAAGAAAAAAAAATTGAGTAAAAAATAATTTATATTATTGAGTTTATTGAGGAAGTTTTTCTGTAAGCTGTGGTCCCATTCACTCCATTTATTGGGACTTCAGCATGATGTAGCAATTTCACTAATGCAACATAATGCTCAACCGCATTACAGTTTAGTTGATTTGTTTAACTTAACAAGATCTTTGTATATTTCCGTGATTTATGCTAATTATTTACAGTTTAATAAACAAGTATTTATGATCATTACTGCTTCCGTCAATATAAATTTTACCAATAAAGTCTGTAAAGTGATGAGCCTGAAACTTAATCACCAACAATTATCCTAGTTGGTCTATTATATTTTGTCTGTCACAATTGGCCCAACTATTTGCTATCATCAGAAATAGATAAAAGACTGACAGAGAAAGTAGACAGACTGGGATGATCGGGTGTGGTAAAGTTACAAACACATGCTTTACTTTTATTATTTACATATTTTCACAATAAAACACATGATTAAAAAATAAACCAAATTAAATGTTTGTTAAATGCTAGCTTACTTTCATTTGTGACAGACACTTTGGGAGTTCATGGAGGGAGTTTTTCGACAGATTGAGATGGATGAGGTTCCCCAAGGACGTTTCCTCTGGGAGGTTCTTAATCTGGTTCTCCCTCAGCGTCAACCACATGTATAACAAAAATTCAAAATGCAATTTTAAAATTCAGAATCCTTTTGGAGAAATGCGTTAAACACAACTGGATAATACCTCAATGAAGCTATTTGCAATAATCCTTTTGGGATCACTTCTATAGAATTCTTCCTTGCACCGAATGTTTCTAGGCTCGTCAGGTTCTTGATCTCTTCAGGAATGAACTTGAGGCCGGTCGAATTGAGCCAAAGGACCTCCAGGCTGACAAGCTTACCGATGTCTGATGGCAGCTCTGCTATGTTGTTGTGGCTCAGGTTGAGCTTCCTCAACGACTCTACATTGAAGAGTGTGAGCGGGAACCTCTCGAGCTTGTTGTAGTCTGCATAGAAGGTCTCGAGTTCGACCAATTTGAGCAGTTCTATCGGGATGGATGTGAGCTCGTTTTTTGATATGCACACTTTGGTAATGCTCTGTATCTCGGTTATTGCATTCGGGAATGATTTGATGTTCATTGAAGCGAGTTTGATTGTCGTGCTCTGGCGGTACCTGGCATCATCGATTATCAACTGCACTTCAAGGAACTTGAGGAAATTGTTGAATGAGGTACGCAACAGTGTGAAATCCATCAGCTCACAGAAGAAGGATGTTTTGGGCCTAAAATGGAAAATTAAGTTACTAAAATGAAACTTTTTTAAAAACTATTTACTGTGTTAATTAGAAAAAGTACTTTTACGATAGCGTGTTTTTTAATTATATATATATTTTTTGGTACATCTGGGAAAAATTTTAACTACCTAATAAACACATGTGAACATATGAAAAGCCCAAATAAAAAATCAACTATTAACTACTAATAGCTAAACAAAAGAGAAGAAATATTGCACAACTTATTTACTATAAAACATTAAAAATTAATTAATTTAAAAAAGTTATATAGGGTAATTATTATTAAAACAAGTTTATAAATTGCAAGAAGAAGGGAGTACAACTCAAGCTAGACTATAAATTTTACTTTACCAAGTCAATAATAAAATGACAAATTTTCATTCTTTTCAGTGATAATAACTGAAGAAATTTGATAACAATTGCAGCAACTCATCACTTACTGACCTATCACAGATCATTCTTAATTATCTTATGTCTACATACTCACCCTAAAAATTTGTTTAAAAAATAAAAATTTTCTTTCAAAAGTGCGGAACGACTCAAAATGCCTTCCTTAATAGTTTCGCCGAGCACAAAGCTTTTCCAAAATAATAATTTTAAAAAATTCTTTGATTTCTGCCATTTTGCCAATGTGAAATATGAACATATAGAAAAAAAGGGAAAAAATAGAAAAAAAATTCAGATTTGTACCAAACGAAAAGCAGCAGCTTAAATCTGGATGAGATAAATGGGCTTATAGTATCCACTACTTATGCAATTTATAGTAAGAACGAGATGTAATAGGATGAAAAGGCCTTAGTTAAATAATGAAATGTCAGGGTATAAGTAGGTAGAGGCAAGACAGGTTAAATTTATTTTCATTTTGGGTATGTTAAAAATGAAATAATGGGCATTAGAGTTGTTGCATTATTGCTTTATTCTAGTGGTTCAATATAAACCATGGAAAAACTAACAAACAATCGTAACACGTAACAGGGACTGAAGATAATATTTTCTTTGGTGATTGATCAGCTTTCTCAGTTTAAATATATTTTTCTTTCCAAAAGGTAGATTGAGGATGAGGCCAGGAAGACAGAAGACAAGAAAATAAATGTTGTTTTTGTCTTCCTGGCCTCATCCCCAATCTACCTTTTGGAAAGAAAAATATATTTGGACTGAAGATAGCTATAGGGACTATAAGATGGAAGTTATTGGAAATAGTGTAATGGTGTACTATCATGCAAAAATTTTTCACACTATCTCTGGAATACCCTGTATATACAGTAACCAGAAATTATGATTAATTGTATATTATTGTTCTGTAGAACCCTGATGAATACCAAATAAAGAGCTGAAAGCTTGGCGGAGATATAGTAATACTCTTCAATTCAAGACGACATCTCTGATCCTCAAAAATCATCATATGATATGGCATTATTTTTATGTTTTAATCAGTTATTTATCAACGAAAGGGGTTATGGGATGAAAAGGCAGATGGCCTTCAGGGTATAAGCAAGGTGAGGCAAGAAACTGACATTATTTCTAATCATTTTCTCTGTCGTACATAATATTCTGGGTGTTGGAGTCTTTTCACACTATCATCATCAAAACAGATCAACTAAATTCAATCCTATCACTTATCAGTCAACATTTCAGGTATATTTCTCTTTACTTTCTCTGTTTTTTTTTTGTTTTTGAAACAGCATGTCTGAGCTTTAATTTGAGCCTGTAAACGTTGGCTTTTTTACATGAATATAAACAACCGAAAGCTCATTGTTCCAAATCCAGATAGCATATTGTCAAAAGGCCCTCAAAGACTTTCTCCCATTCCACACAGACCACAAAAAAAGAAAGTTTGAACATATTTTTTTATCACGGGTTTTTGACCCAAAAATAATACACTGCCAAATCATTTCATACCTGTATTTATTCTTCGTTGGAAGACAATATTTTATTAAACAAAAAACTGCCGGCCCGATGGAGAAATAAATACAAGGAAACGAGCATCACAGTTTGACATTTGTGAAAGCACGTTGAAGCCTCCCCGGGCCGTTGTGTGTAGCCTCAGTCGTTTAAACTGTGACGTAATTCAGTTTCAAACAATTAATAAAACATGCAATTGTTAAAATATTAATCAACCATCACTCATTAGTTATGATTTAACTGTGAGGATTGTAAAAATTACATTTATAAAACAATTCAATATAAGTTTTTAAAGAATAAAATACATATAATAAAATTTACAAAACAGGGTTGTTTTATTGAATATAGTACTAAGAGTTTTATTAGAAATGATGAAGGTATAATATGAGGTTTGGTAAAAAATGGATCTACTCACAAATTTGTTTACAACTACCGGATTTCAAGCTTAAAGCTCACCATCAGATTGGAAATAGTTAAAAGGACGTCTCTCGACATGAATTGTAAGAATGAACCCGCCGATCCAGTGCCAACGCGACCTTCTAATGAAAAGCTGATTTGTAATGCCTCTCAATTTTGAACATGCCATCAAATGTGAATTATAACACAACTAAATATTATCCTAATTATATTATTATTAATACTGTAAAAAATGATTATAAATTAGTGATTAATTTGTATGTATTTTTATTACGTTCAAAATTGAGCGCCAAAAAACCAGCTTCTCATTGGAAGGTCGCGTTGGTGGCGGATCGGCGGGTTCACTCTTACAATTCATGTCGAGAGAAATGCTTGATACTCGTTTCAACCAGACGATGAGCTTTAAGCTTGAAATCCGCTCGTTGTAAACAATAAATTGTGAGTAGAACCATCTTTTACAATATCTGATAGTTTTATGTCTCTAGTATATGTTAAAAGTGAATGTATTTAGTAGCGTGAATGTGTAGTGTGAGAGGGCCGATTGCGGCATATTGAGTACCCCATCATGCGCTGTAGATGAGCCTGTAAAATTACTGTTTGTTGTATTAAGGTATAATTGGCTAATAGGTGTCCTCGACGAATTTTTCTCGGTCAATTTATCAGCCTCCTCGTTGCCCCGTTGCTATGTTACTCGGTCAAGAATAACTTTGCTGTTTCCCCGATGTCTGATAGAATATTGTGCTTAGATTGTCAAGTCACTTCTAACTAGCCATGCTTCTAACTATAGTTGTGTATGGAAACCCAGATTGAGGAATGACCAGTAGTACTGTTAAGGATGAACCAATGAGTCCAAGTACAAAATTTAAAAAAAAATTACCACGGAACACTAGGGTTTTTCTCCAACAATTATCAACATGTTTTACTTACTGGTTTAACATTATCACATGTTTGTATTGCATGCTGCAACTGGTTTTGGTTTTAGATATACTTTATAACGGCCCTACAGAAAGAGATTGAGAGACATTCTTTCTCGCTGACTTCCTCTAGGAACTAATTTCACATACCTACCAGATTGGAAGCTATTAATCAATCGAGTATTTGAACTATGGTGAGGGGCCTGAGGTGACCTTGTTTAAATTTTTCTACTGACCTGTAAAAACTTAAACCACCATAATGCATATTGTCATTTTATTCTACGTATCAAAGAAAATACACAAGATGTCGAATTGCATCCGACAGACCAGCCCTGTGAAAATAGGCAGACTAAAATGATTGGTAACGATCAAATTGCAACGTAATATTGTTTTATCCATGCAAGTTTCTCCTGAGTGGAGTACATATTGAATGGTACTACCCACTATTTACTAATTGTTTTAATAAGAAATACCACCGTCTATCTAAAAATGCAGAAAGAAAATAGAACTAAAAAATGAATTAATTGTTTTTTATATTACTTGGAGATTTCAAAAAATTACAGAGTAGAGACAGTCGGTTAAATTAATTTGTAAATTTTTTGATATTGTCCATCCTAATTTTGTGGAATTCCTTAATAAGTTGAAGGGTAGGAAATATAGGATAAATAGGAATTATGGAAAAGACAATTTATTTCCTACCCATCAACAAATTTGTAAATAATAAATTAATTACCTCAGATTTTACCCCAAAAAGGGTTTAAAATTCATGTTTTTTTCTGCGTTATCACACCAATGCATATTCACGGGGTATCAAATAGCAATTTCCTTGTAGCACAGTGCAAGGTAACAACAAAAAATAAATATATACTAGAAATACTTTATAAATAGATATAAACACAGCTGGGTTCTTTTTCTCTCTCTATCCCCTAGTTTACTATTTTCTCCTCCTTATTTTTAGCAGGCTCAGCTTTTGTGCCAAAGTTCAAATTTTGCTTCTATTTCATTGTTTGATAGATACCATGCCCAAATATGAAACATGCTAGTATTTATAAATTATTTTGTCACACACAAATATTTATCTTTAAGAATTATTAACAAATAAATGCAAATTTTTTAATGGGTTTAATTGTTAGTATTCAAATATTTATACAAATATAATATTAATTTAAAAATTATCTTCTTTGGAATGTAGTAACAATTAATAATGAAACTTGTCTTTATCTAGACGATTACAAGGTAACCAGAAAAATTTGTGTGATTTTTCAATATGTTATTGCTTTAATATCTTAAATCAAAATTGTAATTTACATAGTATGATTAGGTACGTAATACAGAATATAGTTCATTAAAGTGTCTGAACAATTCACTGTAAATTATAAAAATATTTTCTTTCTCACGAATGCATAAATTGTGCATACTTATTTAATAAATTTAAAGGTTGGTACAAAGGCAGTAGCTCATAAAATTTGCACTGTGTATGGTGATGAATAATAAGTGAATGCACTGAGCTTTGAATGAAAAGTGGTTCAAAAAATTGGTTCTGGTAAAAAGGGAATTGAAGATAAAGATAAACCACGTTCTGGTAGACCGTTGGTATTGAATAATGAAAAATTAAGATATCAAACTTGATCCGAATGAAACAGCTTGTCAGAGTGTTCAACGGTAGTGATGAAACCATTTGCTCTAGCTTACATCAACTTAGGAAGATGTTGAAGTTGAGAAACTGGTTCTTCATAAATTGAAAATAGTAACAAACTTCCATATCTAACCATTTGCTTTTCATGGCACAAAGAGACTTTTTTTGATCAGATTGTCATACATGACAAAAAATGATCCTAAACCAGGAGGTCGTACCATTGGCGCCACTCAATGACCCCCAACCCATTGACCCAAAAACCGAATATTCACCAACAAAAGGTGATGCTTTGTGTCTGATGGTAGTATGGCAGGCAATGGGCACTGCATGAACTTCTGGCGTGGCCATGCCATCGCCACATTAATCTACTAAAGCCAACTGGAACGATTATCTCTTACACTGGCCTAGAAATAACTTGCTCTTGTGCACTGAAAATGTGCAATTTTTCACCAAGACAACGCGATATCTCATACACCCACAACGACAAAGGAGGTGATAATGAAAACTGTTGGGAAGTCCCATACATCTATATACACTCCAGACCTAGCACCATCTGATTTACCTTTTCTTACCAATGGACAATCATATGTGCATTCGGGAGTTTGATGGAAAAGGTTGAATTTATAAACTTGCACGAACATTTCTGATTACCTGGTATTTCCAATAATCTTTGGGAATTAAGTTTGCAATATATAAATTGTGCGCTGTTACCAAGAAATTATTTCAACTTTTTACATTCGACTTACATTATGGACATTCCCACAATCCATGTAAAAGTTGTGAAAATGCATTTCTTTAAAGGTCTTACTGTATATTGAAAATAATATAAAGAAAAAAAAAAATACGTATGCCTCCTGCTCCTCATTTCACTCGGTTGATTTATTAAATATAATTATATGTTTATTGAACTACTCCAAAAAATTAATTTTTGGCTCAGCTTCCAGCCCCAAAATGCATAGCCCTAAAAAATATTAATTGGTTGGAATAGTTCTATAGATTCTGGTACATGTTTGTAGAAAGTCGTTGATTGTATTATACAAATTCAGATTTATTATAAATAATTAAGCCTCTTATTACATTATATATATATTATTATAAATAATATTAAATATCATCGAAATTCAACTGTGGGCTGGAGAAAAAGGCAGTCTTTTTTCTCTGTAATATTTGTAAAATAAAATCAATTTTCGAAATGTTTATTTTAAATGTGATTTAAATTGGGAAAATTGTAATTTAAAACAAAATCAGTACATACTAAAATATATCACAGAAATTATTTAAAAGACAAAAAATATATGGAGATTAGAAAGCGAGCAGTCGGGTGTGAATGGTCGTTGGCAAATCTCTAGAAAACGGAGCGAATGTGAGCGTCTGTTGGAAATTATGCCTACGCATCGCTTCTTGAATTTCGCTTGTCTTAATCGGGGTCATGTTCGACCACTGGAAAACAAGCAAAACAGATTAAATTGTTTAAAACCGTTTATCAAATTCAAACCTTACCATTATTCCTCTTTCTTCACGAATGTTCAAAATTTTGTCGATGAGAGAGGCGATGGTCTCTTTGGCCATATAGATGAGGATTTCAAGAATGGGAATCGGTATTTCTTCGTTCCACTTCACTCTCGTCTTCAGCCACAACATAAACGCAGAATGGGACATGTTTGCCCGTAAAAAAGACTTACACCTCGCTGTATGAAACTCCTGATATTCCCTGCAAACATGACATGATAGTGATATTTGTTTTTAAAAATATAAATTGTAATGCTTACACTGTTGTGAGGTTAAGTGACATTTTACAAGCTCTCGCGGTTCTCTCTTCCTTAATGACATCCGTCAAGGACAGAATGTCCTCTTCTTCAATCCCAAAGTCTTTTAATTTATGCAAGCAATATTCTTTCCTGCCGTCTTTCCATACTAAAGGTTTGCTTTCACCTGTCTGATCCCCTTCTCCCATTATTTTCGGGATATCTTTTATCATCGAATTCAAAACATCTTTTTCATCTCTTACACCTTAAACGATAGAACCCTATAGAATGAAAAAAATTATTACCAGTGACAATCCGTATATTACCTATGTATGTGATGAAGCGTTTCAATGCAGCTTCATTTCTCCTGAGCAGGTACAATATATCTTCAGGTTGCATGACATTGCCTCCACGCCACTGCATCACTTCTTTTGCTTGTGACAGCATAAGCGACATTTGCTCAACGACGATGGTTTCGATTAGCTCAGCGCTTTCCCTGAGAGGTCTAGAGCAATCGCCAAGTCCGTACATCATCAACTGGATGTCTTTTTGTAACAAAATAAAGAACAAAACTTGTATATACATTTTTTATAAAGATACAAAAGAATGGAAGACTTACCAGGAACAAAAGAGACTGTCTTTTCTTTTGCCCCTTTTACCTGCTCGCTCGTATGAAAATCGCTGTTTCCGTCCATTTTTGGGGATAAATTGTAGTTAAAAGTCAAATTATAAGATTACAAACTATCAGTCCCATTGACTAAAAGAAAACAGTTAATTACCTTCTTAAAATTGTTATCTACCCCCATGATTCTCCAGAGTGCCTCAACAACAATATTCAAAAGATAAGAGATTTTCCGCCACTAAAAAAGTTAGGCTAGATTTTTTTAAGCACAATTTGCTTTTTTATTAAAATTTCCTTTATTTTTAACTAAGAGTCTATTTCTATAAGAAAAAGTCTACTAACTTTTAGAAAAGTAACAAATCCTTGGTTTGTACTATGTAAAATGCTCTTTCTCGCTTTGTTGGATTAAGATTGCTGATTGTAATAAATTTTAATCGCATCACTAGCTTAGGAACAATTTTCAAAATAAAAAAATCACTGTGAGACTAGCATGGATGAACGAGAAACTTTTGTGTACCCAAAACTCACAGCCACCAAAATTTACACCACTCCCAAAAAAATTAACAAGAACATCTAACATCCCTATGACACAGGTGATAAAGTACAAACTATCCCTCGCATATAAACTCGTAAAACACAGAATGACATTGTAAGCCGGTCTCCGTCTTAGCATAAGTTATGAATAGCAAATATAAGTTAGAAATAGTTGTAAGGAATGTCAAATATACGTCGGAAATTGTAGGGTGGCACATCCGGTGGGAGCAAAATGTTTCCCGAAAAACCTGGGAGTCATTAGAATGCGATAGAGGAATAGTCTGTTCATTAAATGAAGAACTTTAGTGTGGGAAGGTTGTTGCTGACACAGTTTATCCAGCTGTGGTACACTTTAAATTTAGGGGCACGTCAGCCGGGTGGGCGTTAAACACTTGTATTTATTTATATTCCAAAATAAATAGGTATAAAGATTAATAGTTATTTCAAGTGGTTAGTGAGTTAAAACGTAAACCTAACATTAATAACTTGCTATTTACCTTTATAGATTGTTACTAATCCTTTTACACTTTTTAGATTAAAAATAAAGAAAATCAATTCAATTTGATCCTTTCCAGAGCTAACTTATCGTGTTAGTTAAATTGTTTTTCTTTGATGAAACAATAAAGCTGTGTAAAAAATTAGTACTTTTTTTTTCTTAAAAGCATGGTTTTAAGTGAATAAGATCTCGCCCTGGCAGATGCGAACAATGGACATAGTTTCCATTAAATAGCCTTAGTCATGTGTGTTTTCTACCATCCTCGATCATTTGACAACTTCCTTAAAAGGTAGTCAATTTCAAACAGTCCGTAATGTAAGGGTGAGCAAAGCCTAGTTTCTAAACTTCTGGAGTAGCAGTGAGTAGAAAGGTGACTATTCGCAAATCAGCATCTCGCTTGGAACAATGGGGTGCTGTAGCCTTCACAGATGAGTGCCTGTTTGGTTTGTGGCAAACAGATAATTGGATTGTGTGTAGAGAAGGCACAGAGAACGCTTTACTTCATGTGCGTCACATGTGTCACAGCATTTTCAAAGTTAATACAACATACGGTAACATATGTCGGTTGTTTTTGTAATGGACATATGAACTTAGAACATTAGCTAAGGAACGTGATGATTGCGATGCGTATTTTGTGAGGGGGAAGGATTGCGTAAAAAAATAGGGCCGAGGGCGACTGTGGGAATCGAACCCACCACCGCGGGGTTTACGAGCCGAGAGTATATCACACTAACCACTCGGCTACAGGAGAGGGTCCATTGTTTGAGTCAGCAGTTTTGTTACGGTGATGTTTCGTTCCACTATAGAATCATATTCTATGATTTTGTATTTCAATTTTTGAGCTAATCGAGAGATTTCTCCAAATTTATCTATTGTACATTCCTGTTTTTCTTCTTCTTTATCCTCTTCTGTGGTCAATTTTAAGAGTTCTTTCTATTCTTCCTTAGTGAGTTCTTCATGTTCACAGATCAAATTTTCCACTTCACGTAAATGTATATCACTGAATCTTTCTCCATCCATGGATTTCCCCAATTCGGTTACTCTTCGATTTCTCTCTCTGTCGGTGGAGTTCTGTTCTCGAGTCACGAACGACGTCACTCCATAAACATTTCCAACAAACAATTACCGTTTCTGATTTTAAATTGCCCATAGCTCCTTTGATGAAGATTATTGCATACGTTGTAAACGATTTCCGACAATCCATCACAGCTTCCGCATTTAAATCAAGTGCCACGAATCATCTCAAATACGTGCCTTAAATACTCAGCTTGGATGCTCGTAATATATTTGTGAGATACGTTCTCTTTATAATATGTGCCTGGGAGAGGATCTATAACTCTTCCTAAACTGGGTGAGTTCAGAGGAATTGTTGCTTTCATCTGCCAAACATGGTATGAGGCGACTGGATGGAATCAGATGTTTCAATATTACAAGCTATTCGTTAACCATATTTATTTATTTATTTATTTACGGATCGAATCCACTATAAAAAAGATACCATGTTAATATCCCAATACAACTTGTGACTACCGAAAAAAAATCCAAGACCTGTACTTCCGGCAGACGGTCGAAAGACCATACCGATGATTTGTTTACTTTTAGTTTTGCATACTTGTTAGTTTCACGCAAGTATAATTATTATTTGTGCAATTGTATAATATTTCAAAAATAGACTTTTTTCTTTCTTTCTCTCTTAGGATTTTTGCGCTTATAGAATGTTATCGTGTCGGGTAAAATACTACTAATCGTTTGCGAATAGGGCTATTGAAATTTTAATTAATACGGTTTTTGTTATTCAACTGTGTTGTGCTTTTTGTTATATATCACAGTTTGTCGCAAACCACCCAAGGTGAGATGGATGGTCAAGGAGTCGGTTAAACAACAGGTGGCACATGCAAGAGAGGCGCAAATCCAACAAAGCCGGGAAGTCGGACGTGAAGGTAGATGGTCGTCCGTGGTGGGGATTAGGGGGCCTGTGGGACAGGATGGAGGGAGTTAAGCAAATAGTGGTGCTCCGTAAGTCGGGATAGACGAAGAACGAAGGGTCGTCGGAACGTCGTGCAAGCGGAAGCCAGTCGGTCTCTTTTCTTCGTGCCGGGCCGTGTTGGATTTTCGATTTTGTCGGTTTCCGGTACCATGGTCGCGGACGGTATCAAATTGAAGAAGGAGCTAGGCCTCGTCGACGGGGTCGGCATCATCGTTGGTGTCATCATCGGCTCCGGAATCTTCGTCTCGCCGAAAGGCGTCCTGGAAAACGCCGGCTCGATCGGATTCGGTCTCATCATTTGGGTCCTGTCCGGCATCCTATCGATGATAGGCGCCCTTTGCTACGCCGAACTAGGTATGACAGCCTTTCCTCTTTATTTGAATCATCGTGTCGTATAACAAAACTTAAATCTGTACGGGTGTCACTTTATGGAGTGTCATATCGGACAGGGAGTAATGGGCACAGGGCCGGGGAAGGGACAGGATGTAAGTAATAATAATAGTTGAGGGAGTAAAATTGGGAAAACTTGCTTCATCAGTTCACGGAAAAATCTTTTCTCATCGGCCTCGGAAGCCCACGTGCTCGAATTCAAGACGTGTACTTTGAAAAGAAAGCAGGAAACATCGTAATAAAAAAAGTTGGGAAATTACGCGACAATTTAAAAAAAATTGTACCTACGAAAGACAAGCAAGATTTTTCTACGCTGAAAAATATTTAAAATCCTGCTACAATTTCGACAAATTTTTCAAGATAACTAATTGACTATTAAAAATCTTAAACAAATGGTAGACAACATTTTGAGATTTCGTTGACATTAGTAGCTGTTCAAAAATAATACAGATAATCTCGGATTACTCTAGAAGTTTAGAATAAGAATGAAGTCTTTCATTTGGTTTCTTTTTTAAAATATGTACATAGTTGCTGTTTTATTTTTCAAAGGCGCAGTTTTATACAGTGAACCACCAAGGATAGAAATCGTTCAAGAAAATTTTACGAATAACGATTGACCTCGTTTAAAATAAAGACAAATCATTTTAAAAAGAAAATGTTTTTGTGAAATTGACCGATCTATTCCGACCTGTTGCTCTGTGTTTATGACCTCTACTGGGCCCTGGGCCACGTGCTTTACCTGACAGTAGTGCGTTCCACTGTGTCGTCGCCCAGTCGCATATTCTTCGTATATCGTATATATTTTATGTAGCTTACATTGCATACATAAATTCATCGTTAGATAAATATGTACATATCCAGGTTGATGTAAAAAAATCACGGTGGCACGGGAATTTATAAACGTTTTCACCAGCAAAAAAAATTAAATATTTACCTTACACGTAAAGATCAATTCTTAAAAAATATTTAAAAAAATTAAATAGATAGATAAGAAAAATTGCTTGGTGAGGTAGATAAATTTTTGCAAGCTAATAACAAATAATTAGCCAGGTAGGTAAATTTTTTTAATAATAAATAATTAACCAGATAGATTAATACATTTTAACATGAAAGATAAATATTTATGACGATTGTATAGTTGAAGAAATAATTAGCTTTGTTATTAAACAAATGTAAATTTAGTTTAATTAAATAACTACGTTGATATATAGATTTCGATTTTGACATAAGAGAATAAGATTAATAAATGCTTTACGAGAAGGTTGAATATCAGATAGATAAATAGTTCAATTACATAATAAAAAACTTAGCTAAATACATTAAATTAATGCATGGAGAGACCAATGAGAATTAATTTATTTAAATGGTTTCTTCATTTTATTTGTTGAAAAAGTACTTCGTAACGTAGATAAAAAATTCTTAGCGAGTAAACATCTTTTTTATACACATATGTATGTATATGTATAAAAATGATAAAGACTTAGCAAGGGGAACCGACAAATGCCAAGCTAGGCTTAAGTTCTTAACTAGATTAATAAATAGATGCCTTTATAAATAGATAAATATCTATTTATTTAAATAAATTCTTAGCTAGCTAGATAAATAAATGCCTTGCGAAATAGATAAATATCTATTTATTTAAATAAATTCTTAGCTAGATAGATAAATGATTCCTATGCCAAATAATAGGATAACTAAATATTTAAATAAATTCTTACCTAGATAGATAAATAAACACTATGCAATATAGATATATAAATACGTAAATAAATTCTTAGCTAAATAGTTAAATAATACTTTGCTAGGTAGATATGTAAATATTTAAATAAATTCTTATCCAGGTAGATCTCAATAGATGAAATATCTTAATATTCAAATATATTCTTAGTATAAATAAATGTAGATAAATAATATAAATATAGATAAATAAATATTTTGCGCAATCGACATATTGATCGACTATTGACAGAAAGGTAGGCAAAATAAACAAATAACCTTTTCCAGGTAGATCTAATTAGATAAGATATGCTAATATTCAAATATATTCTTAGTCTTTTTAAAGATGAATAAATACTTAGCAAAATCGACATATTGATCGACTATTGATACAAAGGTAGGCAAAATGAACCGATGATAAATGCTTAGATAGATGAATAAAGACATTTTTATTAAGGTAAATAAAGAAATAGGTATAGAGATACAAATGCTATGCTAGTTATTTAACTTAACGTTTGGCTACAACAGAATTATCGAGGTTAAGAATAAATTTTTTAATTTTTGTTCTTTCTACGAGGGAAATTCAATTACGAGTTAGATATATGAACCCAAATAAACTAATTATAAGGTAGGTAGAGAAATATATGCGTAACAAAATATAGATTAATACATACTTAGTAACATGGATAATGCATATCAATCAATACACTTATATAGTAAATGTTTACGTACATAGATATATAAATTTTTGAATTTGAAATTTTAGTATATAGATAAACATGTTATTAAACGAGCTCGGGAGAAAAATTGTGAGAACTAAGGAAAATCTTGTCTACGTGAAAGGTCAAATGACGTGTAGCTCTTGAAGTTGGATTTGGACATCTCAGTCTCCTCAAATCTGCTTTGAATAGAATTCAATACCTGCTGAGGTGGCTTGGAAACAGAATGAATTCAGTTGCATACAACATAACAAAGGGAACGTGCTATCCTTTCATGACCTGCAGAGGGTAATGGCGGAAGACTTTTCTGACCGTCTATCCTGTAAATCAAGTCTTATACAAGTTTCACTTTTATTAAGTCGAGTTTCATTCTGATTTATGTCACCTTTTAAAGACGTTGAAAATATTTGTTTCTAAATTTAAAATTTTCAAATGTCGTGTAATCGGTTTGGATTCTCGACGACAATTGAAATGGCGACGGAGAACTTTAGAGAAGTGTACTTCATTTTTAAATCATTAATTCACTATTTTCGTGGTCCGCTTGAACAATTAATACAAGACAATTAATTAAGGTTTTTAGTTGAGATGAAATGATGTCCGAGTGGATCGAGGTCACGATAGCTCAGGTGGTAGAGCAGCGGCGTATCTAGCCGAAGGTCGTGGGTTCGAATCCCTCTCGTGCCNTCTCTCTCCCCCTCTCTCTCCCTCTCTCTCCCTCCCTCTCCCTCTCCCTCTCCCTCTCCTTCCTCACGCCCTTCCCCCTCTATCTCTCCCGCCCTCCCTCCCACCCTCTCTCTCTCCCAAATTCAGTGTCACGAGCGGGATTCGAAGCCATCTCATTTGTCCCAGAGAATCAAATTGATTACATGACATTTGAAAAATGGCAAAAAGGAGGGAAAATTCAAAAGGTGGGGTTGAGATGGGAAGTTAGTGCCCTAGCAGATCGAAGTCACGATAGCTCAAGTGGTCGAGTAGCGGCGTATCAAGCCGAAGGTCGTGGATTCGAATCCCGCTCGTGACACTAACTTTTTTATCTCATCTAAAAACCTTAATTACTTGGAGCTACTGTTGTAGAAACCCGCTGAAACGCCGAAGATGACTTTTTGTTTAAATTATTTTTAATCTGCGTTTATTGCAATTAGTAACATTAAATGACAAAGAAGACCACACTAAATCTATACGAGTCAAGAAGTTATCCAGTTGGAAGTGGAATAAATAATAGTAATAGACTGGAGAGTGTTGCGCTGGAGTATACGATTTTTGCTTTTGATTTAGAGTTCTTTAGTTTAATGCCCATTTTGTAAACCTCTGCACTAAGTAGTAAAAGGTGAGTTGGTAGATTTTGGTATATATATATATATATATATATATATATATATATACAGTATACTGTATATTGGATTGATTCCAGGAGTACATAATGAGCGATAACGATTGTCATTTTATTTGAACAAGTTGAAACAATAATTAATATTTTATATTTTTCTGTTGATAATAAATCTTAAAGTGACTGTTGGTAGTCTAATATGGAATCGTATTATATGTAATAATTTCCGAAGTCAATAGGTCAAAATACAAGTGAACTACACCCTGTAAGCAATAATCAATTTTTTTTTGTACCCTTGACAAAAATGTAGCGAACAAACATATTTTAAATTAGAATGGAAATAATTGTTCATTTTACGCGCTATTTTAAATTATTTTACCGTTCCTATTTTTCAAGATAGACATTGGCCCTTCAAAGGGGGGGGGGTGAAGTTGCACGACCGGTTTTACAATAAAGGGCCCTTTGATTTATCACCCTGCAGCGATCCCATTCGTATTACAAAAGTTCTTGAGAAAAGTACACTTGTAAAATAAAGTTAATTATACTGGTGTTTATACCACACTCAAAGACAGAAAAATCGGGCACTATTATTTGTGTTTATTTCAAACTATGTATATGTATTTTTATCGTTATATGAATTACAACATATTTATTTTAATGTAAACCAAATTTAAGATCGGAAATTCAAGAATTTTAATAACAATTATACAGGTTAAGTCCAAGTTAAGTCCAAGTTAAGTGGGATATAAAATGCTTTTCATTGATGAATATTTAGGTAAAAAGAAACCACGTATTCCGTGGTAGTTGAACTTATTTAAGAAACTATTGACCGCATGGCTGCGGAATTATGGGCATAACAATTATGTAATTGTGATAGTTTGAAAGAAAATTACCAAAACAAACGGAAAATCGTTTAGTTTAAATAAAGTGTATTTCTTAGTGACCTGTTGTTCCATAATTTGTTGACGTCGTGAGGAGCGGTCAAGTGGTGAGGTAGTTTAGAAAAACACCTTTTTTCATTTTTTGGCAGAAGTTTCGACCTTTAATCGGATCATCTTCCGGGCCTGGGTAAATTACAAAACATACGTTGATTGGAAAAAATTCAATTTAAGATGTAAATATAAATTTTGAACCAAGTATTTCATACTCACATAAAGTGTGGTGCTATTTTTGTTGTGTCATATTGGTTTTGTGTGATAGTGTTGTGAAACGTGAAATTGTATTCTGCTGTTTTTATATGATTGTGACAGGGTGGGGGAGACGTTAAATCTGGGAAATAGTAAGTGGTCCTTGGTTACAATTCACACATGAAGTCGAAACAGAAAACAAAATACCATTCTAACTCATAATAAGACAAACAGATGGTACATTAATTACAGATTGGTAACCAATGAACACTGATCCTACCTCAATTATACATCACACCACCTCCTACACACAAGATGAAACACTATGGGGGCGTCGGTGGCCGCAACTGTTTAGGCGTTGACACGGCGCTTATCACTGGAAGGTAAAGGTCCCGGGTTCGAATCCAGCGGCCCTGCATTCGAACCCAACATACTTACAAATGGGCTTTTTTTCAAAAACACCGGCACCCTGATGGTTGATATAACCTCTGCTATTGCGAAGCCTCGATTAAAAAAAAATCATATCTCTAAGTCACGAATCCTTTAACCTAAAAAATATTCAAATTTTTTCCAATCAACATATGTTTTGTATTTTACCCAGACTCTGAAGATGACCCGAATAAAGGTCGAAACATCGGCAAAAAAATGAAAAAAGGTGTTTTCTAAACTACTTTTTGTGATCTTGCGGGTGCCTTAAATCAACGAGTAAATAAGCGGATGATCGGATTTCGACTTGTGAAACGGTATCCCATTCTTCAACAAGAGGGTTTGTAGCAGTTCAACGCTTGTTGGCGGCGAACGATGCCTAACCCCTCATTTCGTTATGTCCCATAAGTGTTCTATAGGATTAATGTCAAGAGCCCGAGCTGGTCAATTTATTGTGGTAATCCCAACATCCTCCAAGTAATAGGATAACTCAAGCTGCATGCGGTCGAAGGTTATCATTAATACAAAGTTGTCCCCAACGAATGGGGCCACGGCTTAGTTTAGAGCGGTCAACGATTCTGTGTGATAATAAGCATGGACGTTGATTTACCCCATACCATAACCGTCTTTAAAAAGGCGGCGACTCACGCACGGTATATGGAGCAAACCGTTCTCCACACACAGTTCACCTGATTGCCACAAACCAAACAGGCACTTCTGTGAAAAGAACCTCATTGTTCAAAAGTCCAAGCGATATGCTAATTCTCGTTTTAGAGCTTATTCTTACATTACGGACTGTTTGGATCAAGGAAGCAATTAAATAACTGTTCCGTAGTCGTCTTACATCGCGGTCGTCCACAACCTTCTTTTCGATTGAGACATTCAGTGGCCCTAAACCGCTGTAGACCTTCACGGCACACCCAGGACTTGGCAATGTAACGGACTTGAAACTTGAAACCATGCTTTTAAGAATAAAATTATTTAACGATGAGCTGAGTTATCAACCTGCTGGAAACATGAAGTTTTTCGGAGGATCTACGGAAGAGGTCAACACCGAGAAAAAAACATCCTTTCAGTTTTTTTCTCTGTGTTGACCTCTTCCGTAGATCCTTCAAAAAACTTCATAATAAAATTATTATTTTTTTTACACAAATTCATTGTTTTATCAAAGAAAACCATTTAAAAAAACAATTAACTAACTCGACAAGTTGGCTTTGGAAAGGATGAAATTAAACTGATTTTCTTTATTTTTGGTATAAAGTATATACAAGGATTAATAACACTATATAAAAGTAACAACAAGTTGTTAATATTTGTTTATGTTTTAAGTGATCTATTAATCTATATACTTATTATGGAAAATAAACAAATAAATACAAGTGTCCGGTTTTTGTCTTTGAGTGTACATTTACTCTGTACATTATATATAAGTGGGAAGTTTATGGGCCAACAAACAGCTGAGGTCATCGCCAGCCCTCTGCGTGTTTTCCATCTTTTTCTTTTCTTTCGCGCATATTTCGTTTTAAACTGCAGCCATTTGAGCATCTCGATCTGGTTGCTGACTCTCTGATTTCAGATATATATACTACGTTGATATTCTAGAATGCTAGTCTCTCGTTTGTACCTCAGGTTGTCAAATACAGAATAAAAACAAAACATACAATACATATATATACATCACCACAAACATAGATGTCTGGTCACATTCATTCCCCCAGAGTACCGATATTCCTCGGGGCGGGGTTATAATATACTGTACATTATAATATATTATTTTTGCTTTGGGAAATTATCCCATAGATCGCAATAATAATCAATTTTATGATGTATTAATTAATTTAAAGAAAAGTTTTGTTCAAAATTCTGTTCCTTGTGGTAGCCTTGTCGTTTAACGGTTTATCATTGGAGTCAATAAATTATACAAATATTCAATTATATTATTTCAGAGTAAGAAGGCGAGAGAGTTAGATGGTAAAATTATCATTTTCGACCCAGCTGGTTAATTATATTTTTGAAAATGCCATCTTGACACGGTTTTCTGCAAAAGGTGTTCGACACCTGCCTCAACAGGGCCGAGCGTCCGCATTTCTCATATCCACATCTTTACATCGAACCGGAATATTGTGCGGTTGTGTCTTCGCATAGGTTATCCTGGTAGACTTTAGTATAAGATAACCATTAAAATGTCACTTTCTTATTGGCTTTACCCTTACTATTTGTTAGTCATTATTACCACTGGAAAAAAAGACGACTACAAAAATGTCCCTTTGGGAAGGTATTCTATGACAAAACAGAGTTTATAGTCCAGTTATAGTAGTTAATAGAAATAATAGTCCAAAAACGAGTTTTTTCATACAATGATGAAAATTGTTCTGTTTCACCTAGTTTTCTATTTTTTACCAAAAAATCATAATCTCAAATGTCACACTGTTACAGCTGAAGATCATTTAATTGAACTTGCGTAAAGAATACCGCCTAGATAAATAAATTTCGACGTGGAAAACCAACCATTCACCCTAAGTTGAGTGATTTTGAGGGAAGAA